TTTTAGTTAAATTGCTGCCAGCTGCTCGTATTTTTTTCTTTTATCTTTGTCTTTATTAAAAAAAGACATTTTTTGTCAGCCGGAAACGTAAAAAAATGTTCACAATTTTTTAAAGTCCGGCACTAATTTTTTTAATCTTTTTAAAAACACAAAATTTACTTAAAATATTCTCAAATTTTCTCTTTAAAATTAAAATTACTATTCATAACGCGCTCACTTTTGGGGGCTGTTTGGGGCTTTGTGAGAGGGTTGGCTTTTGGCCGCTATATTTTTTGTGGCCATAAATCCTTCTTTTTTTCTTCTCTTATTTTTTCTTCCCTCCGAGTTTTCCCACAAATTTTTTCTATTTTTATTTTTTTTCTTCACCAACACTTTCGTATATATTTATTTTTAATGGTTGAATCTACTCAAAACCATCAATTATATATTCTATACTTTTTGTACAATTCCGCTTGCGTTGACTGATTGTATTATTTTATCTAGAATTATTAAATAGTTGAAAGAAAAAAAGTGCATTTTTATAAATAATTTAAACAAAGTTTTGGCAAAAATCTTTAGTCTAAAGAATTTTTTATGTTTGTTTATGCTAGAATATTTAATTTAAGTTTTCTTAAAAAAATTTTTTTGTTTAGGTGACAAAGTTTAGAGGGAAGAAGGAGAAAGTGTTGGGGGAATATAGCTAGAATTAAGGGGGAAATATTTTTTTAGAAGGACACATTGTCTCAATTGTTTGCATTTTAGCTTTCTTTATAAGTTCAAATTTTTTTATACAATGTGGGAATTTTTTATTATACTAATTTTTCAATAAACAGAAAAATTTTTTTCAATAAACAAAAGCTATATCAACAAAGTATACTCGTTTTTGTTGAATATTTTATTTTCTAATTACCCTTTAATCATCAATGTTCACTTGTTTATCTATTCTTTATTGGAAAGTTTTGGGAAATAAAAAAAAGTTCCTGGAATATTTCCGGATATCTGGGGACCTTCGGTTCTCCTTCTCCTATTACCTTCCTAGATCACTAAAAAAATTTTTTTTATTATTTTATCTCCCTCATTCAGTTGTTTATCTTTTCTCAATTCTATTGCTTTATTCTTTATTTACGTGAAAACCCTCTCAAAAATAAAACAAGTAAAATGCTAGGTTGGATAGAATTGAGTGTATTGTTTATAAGAAAAATTTAAGTGGCAAGGGTGGGAGGGACATGCACGCGCGAAAAAAAAATTTTTTCTTCACACTTGTATTTTTCTTTTTTAGCTTCTCTCTTAAAATACTTTATTCAAGGGGATGAAAGCTTTATTATAGAATTATAGATTTTTATAATGAGGTGTATGTAGGTGGCAAATAAAATTAGTTTTTTGGGGATATACAAGGGGGAGAATAAATTTTTAAGAAATTTTTTAATGTTAATTGTCAAAAAATTTTTTAATTAAAAATTATCGGGGTCAGCCCTGACGACTTAAAACTTTTAAAATGAAATATAGAAGGATTAGCATACCCAGCTCTATGAGCATAAGTAGCATCCAGTTTTGCCTTTTAGAACCAAGGAGGCATTATCGTGAGCGTGTACTATCTCTCAGTTAATCTACCCCCTTCAATCACACCAAATTGATCCATATCCCCCTAATCCCTCTAAATTCATCGACTTTCACTTTTGATATTCCCTTTTAAAGATTGGAGGTCTTCAGGGTTAAACGGCATTGAAGCGATGTAGGTCTTCAGGGGTGGATTAATTTTATCTTCTATAAACTATTCTATAAACCATTCCATAAACATTTGATATATCTTTTTTTCTTCAATAAATCTCGTGCTTTTTGGCCAAATACTCACTGGGGAATATATTTATAGAAGAGGATAACGGATGTAGAGGGTTGTCACATATTCGATCCTTGGTCTATTTTGTTGCTCGCTCCTGTAAAAATTCTTTTTTCTCTTCACAATTTGTTGGGGCCGCATCCATCCTTCTATATAAAATGCCCTTCACTAACTAGCAAGTTTTCCTCAACCACTTTTTATTTTTTCTATTATTTTCGGCAGCATTTTCTTTCAGTTTTCCTCATTCATTCTCTCTCTTTTTTAATGTTTAGTTGACATTTTCTCTCATTTTTGCACATTTTATATATATCAGCTGCTATAATTTTTTTTGTTTTAAAAATAATAAGAAAATCCAAAAAGTTGTAGTTTTTTATAATTTTTTAGCTTGAGAGGGAGAGTTAATTAATTCATTTTTTGAAGAGAAAAATGCTTAAAAATAGAGTTTCTTGCAGCTTTTCTTTTTTTTATTGCCACCGGTATACTCATAAATTTTATTTAATTTTATTTTTGTGTGTAAAAATGATGTGGTGTGATGTCTTGAGAGAGTTTGTTTGTTGATACCCATTAACATAAATTTAAAAAATTTTTTTGGCCATGCAGAGAAAAATAAATTTAAGGTTTTATAAAAATGATAAAGACCTTAGAAAATTTTTTTTAATTTTCTAAATTTTCTATCCTTAATCTTTGGTCTAACGTTCCCCCATCATTTTTCTTTAAAAAACACAGATAACAATTTTTTTGAATAAGATGGGTTCTAAATATTTTTTCTTCTTCCTCTTTTTCTCTGCTCATCAATTATATTTTTCTCTATTTTCTTCCTTTCAAGTTTCTGCAAAAAATCTTCACATTCATCTTTTCTCCTCCTCAATTTTCGACCGCCTGTAAATAAATTTATTTATTTGTGTGCTGCAAAAGAGAAGATTGCATCATCTTGTGACAGCACACACAACAACAGGAGTAGGGAGAGGTAATCGTTGCTGCCACACTCCTACTAAACTAACTAAAAAACTCTTTATTTTCTACCTCCATCTACCTTTTTCACTAAAAATTTTTATTAAAAATAGGAGGGGGAAGAGAGAACAGGGAGAGGAAAATAAAATTTGGGTACACCTCAACTGAGCCCCGACTCAACTCAGTTCCGGACCCTATAATTTATTAAGAGATGGTCACCTATTTATGTCCATGGTACCAATTTATAGGACATTAAATGGGCTACAATACCAATAGAAATTTTTTATTTTTTGTCATCTTGTAATCTATTTAATGATCTATCCAACGGTACCAAAAAAATTAAAAATTATCCCACCATTCTTGACTTGTAGAGCCGGGACTGCCGTTAAGTCGGGACTCAGTTGAATTGCCTCAATAACATTTTTCCTCCTTTATTTTTGTTCAATTTTGTTTATGTAAAGGCTTGCTTGCTACTCATGAAAATTGAGTACACGCATACTCACACAAATTTTATTTTTTTTTGTTGAATTTTACATTTTAACCAACCAAAAGCCTTTGCATAAATAAAAATTATTTTTTTTTTATTTTTCACATTAAAAATGCAAAAACTGGAAAAAAATTAAAAATTTTGTTCGAGGAAAAAAGGTGTTTTATTTACGTGGAAAAAGTTTTGTGCAAATTGACAATATACATACTATAAATATGACTAAAATTGAGAATAAAAAGGTTTTTCGGTAATTCCAAGGCTGGTCCCCCCCCTTTTTTCTTTCAATTTTTTTCTATTTTTTAAACTTTTTAAAGGAAATTATATATCGTTCGAAAGAGCTCTTCAAGCTGAGTAGAACGGTACTAAATTTATCGAAATCCGACTTAAATAAACATATTTATGAGCATTTGTTTTAATCCCTTTCAACATCACAAAAAGCATGTCCATCGAGGATTTAGCTTCATAATTTGGTTCAAAATCGACAAATCTATCCGATCATAGTATCATTCTACTCAGCTCGAACAGCTCTTTCGAATAATATATTGTAAATTATATTTCAAGAAAAAAATCTCAAAATGGTCAGGGGAACAGAAAAAAAGGGGGGGGGACCAGCCTTGGAATTACCGGTTTTTCGTTAAAAACTTTGAAAAAAATTATTTTTGTGTAAACAAAATGTTTTTAAATTTTGTGCAGCATTTTTAATTTTTTTCCTGGCAATTCTTTCTTGAAAACATTTTTATTTGAATTCAATTAATTATTTTTTTTATTTTTCTTTTGTTTTTTGAAAGCCGCTTGTTTTTCAATCATCTCTCCTTCCTTACTTTAAATCCTCCTCTCTTTATCAATTTTCTTTTTTACATGATGTGCTGACAAAAGCTTTAATGAAAAGCATTATTGAAAGCTTTAATGAATGCTTGTTTAGTAGCCCTCACCTATTCTTTATATTTTTTTCAATATTTCCCTCCTCCCCTCAAATCTTATCTAAAAACAAAAAAAAATTCATTTTATTATTTTTTAACTCCACCCCTATTTTTACTAAAACACCTTCCCTAGATAAATTAATTTATAAAGCAAGGAAAATTTATTCTAGACAAACTGGCTTTTCTAAATTTCAATGAAAAATTTTGTGTTTATTTTTTCCGGATCCGACAACCTTGGTGAACGACCCTTTTGGAAAAACTTGATTTTTAAGAATTATTTTTCTTTTTTTTTATTTGAACTTGAATTTAAAAAAAAGTTTTCTTGGGGATCTTAATTTAAGAGGCTCTTAAAAATTTTTTTAGAATAAACAAAAATTTAAAAATAATTTTTTACTTCCTCTCAATATTTTCCGTAAAAATTTTGTTGAGCATTTTGCCGCCACTTAATCGGATTTTAATTTTTAATTCTTCTTTCTCGATATATTTTTTTGTTTGTTAATATTGTACCTATTTGTTTGTTTTTGCTGTCTAATTTTTATTTAAAATCTAATATTTTTCTACGTACTATTTGGGATCGTTTGGGTCATTAAAGAATTTGTTTTGGATTTTTTGAGATCACCTCTGAGACTAACACCACGAAGACCTCTACCTCAATGCCTATTGACTCTGTAGACCTACAACTTTTGAAAGGGAATATTGAGGGATATTGAAGGGATTAAAGAGATATGATGGATTTGGTCTTCTGGGTGTAGGTCTTTCTTCTTCAGTCTTAAAGATTAATTTAATTAACATTTTTTGATAATTTTTCTAAATTTATTTATAGAAATACTACTAAAAATATTAACATTAGTTTTAATTTCCAAGTACTTTTACACGGCTTATCTTTATTTTCAGTATGTTGTTTATTTGAATTTTTGACGAGTGTAAAAAATATAGGGAGGGGAATGTTTGTCTGTGTGAAGTAAAAATATACTCCGACAATATGGCGCCGGAGGTCCTCCTTCACACTCAAAAATTTTTTTTTATTTCCATAGAAGAAAGCAACGGAAAAAGGGAAGATGAACAACAACAAAGGGCGCTGGAGGATCACATTACTCTTCCCCTACATATATTTTTTTGTTTAGAAGTACATTAAAGGTTATTTTTAAACAATTTTAGTATTTAGTCTTAGCGGGGCATTTAAAAAATCTGGGAGACAAAAAGGAAGCATTTAAAAAATTTTTCGCAGACTTTTTGATCATATGTTTTTTGTTTTAGTATAGATCTCTTATTTTGGAGGGGAAGGGAAGGGTTTTGTTGAAGAAAAAACTAATGAACAAATGTGACATATATTTGTAAATGTGATGTGTTAAGCTTACGTGTCTCTAAAATAGAGGAAGCTTTAAAAAGCGATTTTAAAAGGAAAAAAGTACATTGTTTCCCAAAAATAAGGTGGAAAAAATATTTTTTTCTTCCTTGTTTATTATTTTTATTTTTGTGTGAGTAAATATTTCCGAGTGCATTTGAGCGCGGCATCTTTTTTATAATTTAAAGGTGGGGGATTTTTAAAGGAAATTAATCATTTGACTATTCAGTGAAAATTTTATTCTATTTTTTAATTTCACCTCTGAAAAAATCCGATTATCATGTACAATTCTAATATTTCTTCTAAATCCTTCTATTTTTCCTCATGCTAGGTCATTTTACAAAAAATAGTTGTCGTTTCAACAAAAATAATTTAAGAATTTTTTTGTAACTGTCTAAAAGCTTTGAAATTTTGGGTGTATATTTTTTTGATTGTTTTTTCTAATAGATCCCAAAATTCGAGAATTTTAGGTATTCAAGGAGTTGTAGTCGTATAAACACTCAAAGTCTCAAAACCATCAAGGTTCCTTCCTTCTTTGTTCCTTTCCTCTTTTTTTAAAATAAAAATCCGATTGTCGTGATTGCTAATTACTCTAAAATTTTTTCTACATCCTTCTATATTTTCTAGAATTTTCTCGTAAAATTTTTTTTGAATATTTTTTGTTGATCACCTCTCTATAATAATTTATTTTTCGCTTGCAAATATTCTCTTCAAGGTTGAGCACAATCATACTCTGGTTAAAATCGTTATTAGAGGGAGAGCTCAACACACACACACAAATCTTTCCCTAGTTTTTTTTATTTTTCAAAAACAACTTGTATAAAACACACACAATATGTGTCACAGTTGTTGTTGTTTTTCAACATATTACTATTTTTTAATAAATAAAAATAATAAAATGGAGGGAGGGGGAAAGGGAGGGGGAAAGGGCATAGTAGTTTTATTCCCCGTTAAAGCTTTAATACAAATAGTATGTATTTTAAGCCGGAAACTGTTTTAGTTGAGAGAGGCGTTTACACAAACGCTTAAAAAAATTTTTTTTAGTCATTTTTAATGAAAAGAAAATTTCATTTAAAATTTGTAGACAGATAATTTTTTTATAGTTTTTTAAAGAATTTTAAAAAATTTCTTTTTAATCAGACAAATTTTTAATTGTTTTTTTTTTCAAGAAAAAAACGATATTTGTAGGTATTTTTAGCCTTTCTTTAAATAGAAATATTTAAATATTATTTGTTTAAAATCGTTTTATTTTTATGACCAAGAATTTTAACAATTTTTATCTATTAAAAAGATTACTTATTTTTTGATTTTTAAGACCGCGTTTTCATTACATACCTATTTTTATATAATTTTCAATTAAAAAAATATTTTTTAAATTTTTTCAGACCAAAAATATATTGACTATAGCTAGTATTTTCTTATTTCAACAACAACAAAATTCCCATCAAATGTATGCTGAATGTCAACTTGAAAGTATTCAACATATTCATGCTTTACGTACTGAATTAGAAAATTCTTTAATTTCTGATGATTCTCCTATTGATTCTGAACGGCGACAGCCACAACAACTTCGTCAATTAAGAACTGTATTTCGGTCTGATGAGGCTGTACATATTCAATTTTCGGTTTATTTTGATTTATTTTTTTGGGAAATTTTTGGGGCTGGGTAGTGTGTGTGTGTCCACGACTTGGTAATGAACATGGATTTTGGTATCCGTATCCGGATATCCGCGGGTATTTTGAACTTATCTTTATCCATATTCGTATCCATTACCAAGCCAGGTGTGTCCAATGAGTCCAGTAAAGTTTTACGACCCCAATGAGTCCAACTGAAAGTTTATAACTTCAATGGACTTTATAAAGTTTTTTTAGACTCGCAAAGGTTCATTGGGCGTATAAACTTTACCAACGCCAATTTTTGTTATTTTAAGGGTCCAATAATTGAGGAGGAGCAACAACAGACCTCTCATCATCACCAACAAAATATTCGCCCACCATCTTCTTCAAGATTTACTGTTTCTCCAACCCCACCAAATGCTTTGCCTTCATTTGCTTCAAGTATTGAAAATAGAAAACAAGCATTGCATGTATTAATTGCTAAACCAATATTTGAAGGAGGTAAATTTTAAATTAATTTTTTTTTTAAATTTAATTTCAATTTTTGAAGAAGGCAAAAAAGAAGTTGTGGACGTAAAGAACAAAAAAATTCCAACTCCAAATTCAATTTTTGTTCCACCACCCCCGCAAACATCACAACAATCATCAACATCAGCATCGTCACCAGCATCTTCAATTGACTCGGGCGTAGCTTCTCCAGGTTCTTGTGCTGATGAATTTTTACTTTTTGGTGGTGGGACTAATGGCCTATTTTGCCAACTCAATCGACAACATAGAAATTCTTTACCAAATCCTTTGGGTCCTTTTGAATCCCAAACACTTCCCAAGGCTAGAGGAGGACGTGTTTTTAATTTTACTACAACGACAACAACAAATAAATGTGATGGTGGAGGATTTTCTTCTTTAATTGAGGCTTTGTCTTTACTGCCAGGTGCTCATATAAATGAAGAAGGAGAGTGTAAAACAAATAGAGGAAAGGGAGGAGATGTCAACAACAAACCTTTTGAGTTGCAAAATCCTCCGATTGGAAAGGTTTTTATTTTATTTTTTTATTTATTAGATATTTAGACAGAATTTTTGGGAGATTTTTATTTTTTAGATTTTTTTTTGAAAATTTTTTAGGGTTTTTCGGAAAAAATTTTAGCAAAGGAAATTTTAGGTGACGTGATTTTTGTTTTTGTAAATAAAAAATAAATTTATTTACAAAAATTTTGTAAATAAAAAATTAAGTGGGGGAGAGAGGATTAGCTTATTAAGAAGGTATTTTCCCTCTTTAGCTATTGCACATGGAGATAAAAAAATTCCTTTTAAGTAGTTATTTAACAAATTGAGAGAGGGGATTTTTAAATAATTTATACTCCATTTTTAGCCTCATAATAAATAAATTCCTTTTATGGAATTTATTATTTTTGTTTTTCTAAAAGTAATGTGCGCGTGTGTATTTAAAAGCTTTATAAAAGGAATTTAAGGAGAGATTTTATATCTTTAAATATTTTATTATATTTTTTTGGGAGTAAAAGTTTATTTTTGGAAGGTTATAAAGTAAGAGGGATTTTAAGGAAAAATATTTTTGAGAGCATTTAAGTAAAAGGGAAAATTAAAAATAGAAAGTGGAGAAAAAAACTTTATAATCGGATTTATAGAAAGGATTAGAGGGAGAATTGAGTGGGGTTTTTTAAGAAAAATAAAAATATTTTTGAAAAATCCTGTAAAATTTTAGAGTTATAATCGACTGGATCAGTCATCAACAACATCACTTTTACTACAAAAATTTAACTCTGGAATTGGAGAAAAAAGAAAAGGAGAAGGTGATGGTTTACCTCCACGTTCAGCAACAATGCCTCCTTTAAAAAGCATTTTAAAAAAGAAGCAACAATCGTCAATTGGTGCTTCAAATCCTTCATTAACGACAACAATGCCATCACCTTTGGGTTATTCAAATCAGAGGAAAGGAGGAATGTTTTCGAGGTTTTTTTTATTTTTTAATGTAAAGGGGTAGTGAGCTTCCTTTCTAACTTTTTATTACGGTTTACTGGTGAACCTTTACATTTTGTTGCTGGATATTTCGCCGAAGGGACGTCGTGGTTCTCCTCAGTTTTTCCCTCGTTTATCCCCTTAAGTACTGAATAACCCAATTTATTACCTGGAAAAATTAATTTAAAAGAATTCTTTTAAAGATTTGTTCCATTCCGTTCAATTTCTGAAGACCATCAAGATGAACAACGTCAACGATCACCACCTTTGTACAAATATAATTTATTTTCAAACAGCAACAAAACCAATAATGTTTCTTCTTCTCCAACAGACTTTTCTACCTCAACATCCTCTTCTAATGGAACTATTGGTTTGTTTGAATTTTTAATTATTTTTTAAATAAATACTTGTAAAAAATTGAAATAGGTGGAATGGCTTTTAATTTAAGATCATTTCTCTCTGAAGGGGATCGAACCTTCTACCCCTAGTAGGTTAGGTAGAGATTTTACCCACTACACCAAAATGGTAATTTTCTTGAATGATTTTTTTTCTGCTAGGTTATTATTTGTCGTGTATTTGAAATAAAGCAAAAATAAAATTGTTTTCTCTAAACGGAATCGAACCAATTACTCCCAAGTATGTTAACTTAAAATTTTCCCACTACACCAAAGTGGTAATTTTCTTGAATGATTTTTTTTCTGCTAGGTTATTATTTGTCGTATCTATTCTTTATTTTTACTTTTTTTTTGTTTTAATTTTTAATTTTATTTAAGAAGAAGAAGAAATAGACAGTGGAATTGCTGATTGTTTTTACTGCTCTTCTGGCAATATTAATAAAAATGAAATAAATCAACAACAACAAAAACAGCAAAAGCGTGTTTCATTTTCTGAACAAGTACAAGCAAGAGTTTATCGTTCAACTTCTTCTATTCTTGGGTAAATTTTAAAAATTTAATTTAAAAAAATCTTTTTTTCTTTAGTCAACGAAAGAAAAATGAAAAGAAAGCGCGTAGTCGTGCAACTCGTCGTTGTAATTCTGATGAATCGGAGACAACAACATCAACAAATTCTTTTGATGTAGCAACTAATGATGAATTTAAACGGTTTTTTATTTTTTAAATTATTTTTTATTTTTTAAATTATTTTTTATTTTTATTATTTTTTAAAGGTCTTACTTGGGCATTTATAAAGACAATTTATCAACTAATAATAGTGGAATTGTTTGTAAATCTATGGCTTCATCTACTAGTGATGGTAGTACTAATGGTGCTAATAGTGGAGGAGGAATGTCTGTGCTAGCTCAATAGGGAAAAATTTTTTTGTTAGAAGAAAAGTATAGAGGTTTTTTTGTTTAGTTTTTTGGGTAAATAAAAACCTCCCGAATATATATTTAATTCTTAGTTTTAGTCAAAAAATATTTAAGTTATTTATACGAGTTTAATTTTTATCATTAAAAATATTTTTTAATTGATGAGAAAGCATCTCTCTCTTTTATCTATTTGAAGATGTAATATGTGACCTCTAGGAAAATGAACAGTGGTAGAGGGATAAATGAGATTTGTAACTAGTTGTAAGGTTCTTAGGTTCGGTTCCAAATATCCAAAAAATTATTTTCGGTTGCGTCCCAAATATTCGAAAATTTTCCAGGAACCGATAACTCTAAATACCACTGTTAATTCAACATCTAAAAATATTCCCCATCTTTGTTTTTAATTTCCTGGTACTCTCCACAAAATTTTAGTTTTTTTGTTGCATTCTCTATCAATCTCTATCTATTAATTATTTTTAATTTTATTTTTAATTTATTTAGTGATTGATTTGTTTTTCCTGTTCGCAAAAGAAAAATTTTTTCTAAAAGAAAATTCCCTTTTTTATTTAAATATTTATAAGCATATATTTTAAAAATATATAGTTCAATCAATTGACCTCTTTGATTTATTTTTGAGTTGAATTTCTGTTAAGCTTTGATCAAAATTTTAATTTTAGTAAGTTTAAAGTCGTAGTTTTTAAAAATAGGATCGATCCATAGTGTCAAAACCAGGGGGATCAAATGACTATAGGATATTTGGATCCCAAATATTTGGATCTGAACCTTCTGGGTAATTTGAACTCCTTGGGTTTTTTAATTCGAACTTCAATAACCTCTCGGGTCTTGACCTTATGTGGTGGGCTCTCTAAAAATAATTTTTCTAAAATACAGAAATTCAGCTTTTTTTTGTTTTTTATGTTATTTTTGTTTTATCAATTGTTGCAAAATACAAAAATGACACGTTTTAAAAAATATATTTTTTGGCAATTTAACGCTCTCTGTTAATTGTTTCAAAAAAAATGTTTTTTTGTTTATCTTTGCTTTAGTATTTAAATTTTTTAGTTGGCAAATTTATTAAAAATTTCATAGGTAAAAAGTAAAAAAATATTTAAATTAACGATAAGCTTTTTTTAAAGCTTTAGAAAAAAAATATGTGTATTTTGATTTCTCTCAATCATTTGTATTATTATTTTAAAATGCGTGTAGCAAATTGTATAAAAATTTTAAAAAATGATGATTGGTTTTAATTATTTTAAAAATTAATTTAATTTTATTCGAAAATACTTTTTTTATTTGTTTAGATTTTTTGAAAGGTTTTGAGGGATTCTAATTTGTAAGAGAACAGGGGTCGGTCGGAAATACGAAACTGTTGGAACTCGGAAATGGTTTATCTGAAATCGGAAATTTAAAAACAAAATTCCGACCGACCCCTGGTAACAGGTACTCAATGATGAAGCGTGGAAGGTGATGGACATGTGAAGATTAGAATTGAAATGGAGGTTGAAAATTGAAGGTTAAGATTGAATGGTTAAGTAATCTGAAAGTTTTGCAAGGTTTTTTAAAAAGTTTTAAGGTTTTTTTTTAATATTTTTAAAGTTTGGTAGCTCTTGTTAAGTAGTTTTGTTCGCAACATTTAGTACGTATTTCCACTTATTGTAGTGCTAATCCTGTCATTTACTATAAGAAAATAGGGCTAAGAGGGAATCAAATTACTAATAAATTGAGTATAAATATTTATAAGATGCGCGCAAATAATGCTGAAAAAAATTTTTGTGAAGAGTGGAAAGAATTTTTTATGCGCTACTGTAGACTAGGTTGTGTTTTAATTAGTTTTTGTTCTTGTTTTAGAGAGAGTTTGCTTGTGGAGAAAATTAAAAGAAATCCTCCAGAAAATTCCTCAAACATCTTCCATTGTTGGAGAAAATCCTGCAGGCATTTCTGAATTGGAGAACCCGTCAGCAATCCTTTTTGATTTTGTTCGTCTGTTTTGGAACCAAACTTTCACCTGTATTTTGGAGAGGTAATTAATTTATTTAGGGTGAAAATGAGAATTTTAAAGATATTTTAGACATTTTACGAAATTTGACGCTATTTTTTATAGTCAAATTCCAATACCCAATTAAGGGTAAAAATTGTCGGTATTAAGTGAAATTTTTGTGTGTGTTGTTTGCATACTATTAGGCACAAATCGTTTGTTTTATATTTTAAATTTTACTCTCGAGGATAGTTGAGATATTGCCTTGTTTTCTTTTTAATGTTTAATTGTGTGTGTTTGTGTAATACAAAACTGATTTTAGTTAGTATTCTATTAGTGCGTGTTTTTAATAATGTCTAAAAATGTTGGCCTTTTAGCGGGAAATAATTCTCCTTTTTTCTCCTTTTCTGGGGCCTTTTTTAAATCTTATGCCGAAAATGTTTATGTAATTGATAGCCAATTTGTGCTTTAATGGAAGGCCAATTTATTTGGCAAAAAATATGGCGAATATGAATTTTTGAGGGTAAATTGAAAGGGAATGTAACCTGTGTTTCTGAAAGTAATAATTGTTTTGCAAGTTGTTTTCTTTCTGATCCAACAATATATTTGTTGTTTTTGAATGCGTGTTCGAGGTGTGATAATTGTTGGGGAGAGAATGCTGTTCTAAATTTGTGATGTTTGAAGGGGTTACCATATTTACTTAAATAATTCCCCCCTCCAGCCAGAGGTTAAAAGAATAGTTACCCTCTTAGAAATAGTTAATTACTCCCTTTCTATTAATTTAATTACTCCCTTTCTATTAATTTCTATTAATTACTCCCTTTCTATTAATTTCCCTTTAGCGAAAGATTGAAACAATAATTATTCAAATCATGTTTATTTCCCTTACCTGATTCTTTTTGTTTTTTGCATTTGTTGGAATAGAGGAAAGCCTGATCCCATTGTCAATGCTAACGCTATAGTTTAAACTTGCATTTCGAGTTTTTTTAATATTCCAATCTTACGTGTCTGTAAAATTAGAGGGTCAAAAGCATTTGTTGTTTGTGTTGATTGTTGCAAATTGCTGTCATTTTTTGTTGTTGAGGGACTACCGTTATTCTGTTCTAAATATGTTGTAGCCCAATGTGAAAAGCATAATTGTGCTGCCGATATTGAAGGAGAAATTGGTGGTTCTTGTATGTCCTGCTCTTGTTGTTTTTCATCTTCCTTGATGAAAACATTTTGAGGGTTATCAAAATTTGTAGTTGAACGTTTTGAACAGCTTTTACGTTTAAATTGTTTCTTTAATGCTTTTTCTCTTTTGATATTGTTGTTGAATGCAAGTATACTGTCAACGCTAAAGCCTAAGGAGGATAGTGACATTTGTGTGTTTTAATTAGAGGGTTTCTTTATAGGGGATTTAAGGAGATTTTTGGAATGATTGGCCAATTAGTGAGAATTTTAAAATTATAAAAATTGGGCGGAGAATGGTAAAAAGGGGAAAAAGATATTTTGTTCTGTGCGGGAGATTGACTGGACAAAGCTGGGCCAGGTTTTTAGTAAATATATAAATAGGTAAGTTGATATGACTGCCAATATTTCCTCTCTCAACAATCTACCTATTCTCCCCCTTAATAATGTAAATATTATATAGGTAATTGTAATTTAAGGGCGGTAAACATAGAGAATTTTAATGGGATTTATTTGAAGTCTTAATTAAAAATAGAGGTGGTAGAGTGAGCTATTGTAGCGATAGTTGGTTGTATCTTAAAGTTGCTTTGTTTTCGGAAATCTCAAGCTTGACATTTTAATGGGGTCAACCCTGAGGACCTACACCCTTCGAAAGGGAATGTCAAGGGATTTGGAGGGATATCGACGGATTTAGAGGGATTGAAGGGGATAGAGAGGCAATACCGGACCATAGGTTCTTAACTACAGAACAGGGACTTATCTCCATAGATGGGAGTTTGGGGAGAGAGTCAAATTCAAGATTTTACGAGTTAAGCAAATTCAAACATGGGGATTTTTTACTTTTATTTTACAACAATTATACTATAATGTGAGTATTATTTATATATAGAAAACAAGGAAAACAAATATATAGAGACAAGAATCAAGTAATATTTATATATTGTGTCACTGCACTCATCTTCTTGTTTATGCTATCTCCGTTTGATTATTCCCTCTGTTGGAATACTTTCTCGGCGCTTAGATCCGCGAGCGTGTGATAGGATCCGGGATCTGTAAAAATGGGTAAATTAGCAGTTGGACAAGTGAACCAAAAAATTACCTGTCATCTCGTCCTCAGGCCCGTCCTCATGCGCTCTGATAGCTGCACTTTTCTTCCTTTTGGCACTCTTTTTGCTGGCACTCTTCTCACTGACACTATCGTCAATATCCTCGATTATGTTGGAACTGGGAGCTGGATCACTAGTGGCTGTTGTAGCCGTTTCTACAAAATAAAGAAAATTTTTTAGAAAATTTTCAAAAACTCCAAAAGCTTACCCGTAATCAATTTAGATGTACCACTAGTTCCACTCTCTTTCGAAGAAATTGTTGGCACCGAAGTAGGAGTTGATGGAGACATTGGAATCAATGATATAACGTCTGAACCCGCAACAGGAGGAGGCGTAGTCGGTGGTGTTGGACTTGGAGCAGAAGATTTTTTACCACCAACTTCTGCAATCTTGCCTAATCCTTTGCCTTTCTTTGATGTTTTTGTAGCTTTAGTAGTTTTTCCTGGTGTAGGTTTAAGTGGTGATGGTTGAAGAGGAGAAGCAGGAGGAAGAGGAGCAGTTGTTGTAGGCTTTGCTTTTGACTTAACACCTTCTTGTGGCGCGCCAGTCGCTGTTGGAGCTTTCTGAGTAGTTTTTTCAGCTGGGGTATTTGTCGAGATTACACTTTTATTACCAGAAATCTGAAAATTTTTGAAAAATTTTTTTGAAAAAATTATAGAAAAAACACCTTTTCTCTTGTTGACGGTGGAATAGCCGTTTCTGACGCCGCCGCTTCTTTTCCCGCGATCATCGCTGACTCCGGTTGCCGAATTTCACTTTTCAGTGAAGAAGTAGATTTCTTATTCTTCTTTGATTTACCGCAGCATATCGCCATCAATAAAACCGCCGAAAAAACAGACGAAAATGCGAGCACCAGTAGAAGTTTGAAAAGGACGAAAAGCTGTTGCATTGTAATATGACGAGAGAGAAGATAATTGATATTTGTTAAGTGGGAGTAAAAAAGAGATGGCTTTTATATGGGAATTTACAGAAGGACATGAAAGTTTTCTTAGGAAGTTGGTAGTTTCTGCTGCTTGTTTTCGGGAGCAGGTCAACGTACCGTCGAGCCTAATGTATCGACGAGCTATAACTTCATTCAAGATTGTCGGGGGATGGTAGGGGATGTCCTGGTATGGTTCGAGCTTAATTTTACTAAAACTTTAGGAAGAAAGTTGTAAAAATATTTATATGTGAGAAAATCATAAAAGGGTTACTGAGAGATCGTTTAAATTTCAAAAATAAGAAAAAAACTAAAAAAACTTGACTAATTTGAACCAATTTATTCGTCACTTCGAATTCGTCTTCTTCCTTTTGAATGCCGTTTTCTAGCCTTTTGTTGTTGCCATGGAAAATGGAAAGGATTTGCTGGTTTCCAATCACGCCATCCTGCACGCTCGGGTAAATTGAAGGGGTATTCACGAACTCGAACTTTGAATACCTTAAAGAATTTATTAAGAATTTGGATAGGAAAGAGAAAGTCTACTAACCTTAACCATTAGAAAAACAAAAAGAATTGAAGCTGCAATTACAAGGTAGACAAGGCGATAGAAGCTCTTCTGAAATAAGCTAAATTAAAAAAAAAGTTATTTAAGAAAACCTCGTCAAATACATCTTCAAATTTGGGAATTTTTGAAAGCAAGGAGTTGAGAAATTCCACAAGCCTGTTGTTTTTCATTATGAAGAGTTTAACTAGTTCTGTATTGGAAAGTTTTTGGATTAGAAGCTTTTTGGTGATAAGCTATCGTTAGACTCTATAATCCACTTTTTGAGAGAGAGTACATAAAACGAGTAGTTTTGGTTATAGATGGAGATTAAATTGAAAATGACATTTTATCCCGTAGATAGTGTGTAAAAAGAGGAGTCGGTTAGAGAATTATGTTGATTAAATGACATTTTGTCTCCTATTTTACATTTCGAAGGTTTCATAAGAAATTTTTCAAAATACTGAAAATAAAAATACTCAAAGAAAAAAATAATCAAGGTGAACAAGTTCGTCATTGATGTTTGATTTGTTCATGTCTGATTTTCTACATTTAATTGACAGATAATTAATTTGTTTTCGGTAATAGTGTCGTTTCCAGTCCACATTTTTCCTCCCCAATTTTTACCCTATGTTTGTACGGAATGGTCAAATTTTCCCCTTTCTGTTATCAAATTTGCCTTTCTATATTTTGCCTCAAAACAATCAAAAAGATTAATTTTTTAGTCAGTTCTTTCACAAGGAGAAACACCAAGCATGAAAAATGTTTTCTGGCTATTATAGGAGGGAAAAGAAGTGCGGAAAATTTGTCTTTCCATATTTTAGGCAAAATATGGAAAGGCAAATTTGATAACAGAAAGGGGAAAATTTGACCATTCCGTACAAACATAGGGTAAAAAATTGGGGAGGAAAAATGGGGACTGGAAACGACACTATTACCTTGTTTTCTGCTTTTTCAGATTTTTGTTCATTAATTCATTCTATTTTTAATAATTTGTTCAACTACGCTTAGAATATGCAATCTTCGAGTCCAAGACATGATAATAATTCTGCAAGAACCGATGTTGAATCACGTGGATCTGGAACAACTACAATCACTCAAGTTAATCAACCTGAGGATAATACGGTTAATTTTTAATTTTACGTTAAAAATCAAATTTATATTTGTAGGAAAATGGCAATCACTTGTTATTGAGATTAGAACAACCATCAACATCAGAAAACACAACAGAAAGAAATTCGCCTAGAGTTCAGTGGACTGAGGACACAGTGGACAATGAAAACTTGGGGAAGCGAAAATCAAAATGTTGTTGTATTTTTAAGAAGAAACGAGATTGGAATGATTCTGATAGCTCGGATGAGGTAAAACTTATTTTTAAAAGATTTTGAGAGGCTTCCTTATGGGCTTCCCTTTAAAAGGAAAATTCCCCTTTGAATTTCTAAAGTTAAAAATTAAAGGATTGTGAAAGCGACCATTGCCGCGGTCATAAAGGAAAAGCTCAAAAACCTGAGGGTGGTGGAGGCGGCGATGATCACGATGGGGGAGGAGGCCCTGTTCAAACCTGAACTAATTCGAAGTTATCGGGATTTTTCAAATTTACCTTATATGCATACAAGTATTAAAACTTTATTATTTAAAATCACATTTAAAATGTACAATTTAAAGTGAAAAGTTTAGAAAATAAGTGAAGATAAAGAAATGATATTTTTTGTTTCTAAATTTTTGGGTAAGGGATTCTATAATCTAAAATAGGGTAGTTATGCGACAAGTTTTTGAACAGAAAAATTCTTTAAATGATAGGTCGAAGAAGTAGTTGAAGTTGAAGGGCTTTATCATTGCGTAACAAAGCTGAGTTGGTATCAAGCAGTTCGTTAGCTTCAAGTTTGCCACGAATATCAAGTTCTTGGCTATATCTGTAAAGAGTATAAAATTGGACAGGGTTTCATTTTTGGGATAGGGGCAAGTTTTTAAGAAGAGGTATCAAAGCCTATTAAGATTTTACCTCGATTTTGAGAAGAATTTTTTGTCAGTAATTGTTCTTAAAACTTTTCTTTCACTACAAATCATTAACATATATTCGACAGATCGGCCAGTGTGATCAACATCCACGGCGGTAAGGGTAACTCGAAGCTCGTCGTTAACACATGACAAATTTTGTACAATTTGAAAGTCTAATTTCCATTCCCATCTAGGCAGAGTTAAAGAAGATGACTTGGTGAAAATCTGAAGGAAATTAAGGTTTAGAAAACAATTATAGTTTACTTTAAAAGTATGGTCGTGGTTTTTTAGGCGAAGCTGTTCTGATGTTATATACATTTTCTTATCCCATTGAATATCGGTATAATTTCTAAGCAGAAATTGTGTGCCGTTTGTATCGTTGGAAGTACTAAAAAAGAATTTTTCGAGTTTTTAGATTTTTAAAATATTTTTACTTTATTAATTTAACTCGACTGGCAAGTGGAAGTGAAATAAACTTGAAGGCAAGATGTGTATAAGGCCTAAAAAGCTTTTCGTGCAGCTTGACAATTAATGGTTCTTCAACTTCTATTGCGTATAGCTGTTCAGCTGTCATAAATGGAAACCTGTAAATCAACAATTGTTAGAAGAGGTTTGCCATAAAAAGATTAAAACCTAATATAGGGCAAGATTTGGGCAAGCAAGGGCGCACATGTGTTACCTCTTCTCTCTGGATGTGCTGGCGCGTTCAACTGAATTTCTGGTTTGCTATTTTTTGTTTTAAAGTAATACCCATTTAAGAACGCTCTCCCAAACAAAATATTCATTTGGAACAACAAGTTCGTTTGATCTCAAAAACTCAACAAGCTGGTCCCTGTCCAAATCCAGCCACTCCCTTTCCCATTCAGCACTGGTCATTAACTGCTTGAACTCTTTGGCAAGAATTTCAATACAAACTTTGATCAATGACTGGTGAAAAGCTTTTGTTGAATAATTAAACCAAAAATGGAAAAGTTCTTTCAACTTCATATCAGGTAATACATATTTAATGGCGAATTCAATACAAATCTTTGGGAAAATGCTTATATAATCTTTTATAAATTTAGTTACTTTTTTAAGACACGTAACATTATATTTATCAGCCAATATTAAAATAGGCAAGGCATTTTCTGAATTTAAAACAACATGGTTGCAATATTGAAAACGCAAAAATTGGCCAAAAACAGCTTGACATTGAGGTTCTTCTGTCAATTCAATTTCCTAATGTATGGAATAGAAGGATCAACAACTTTAAGAAAATACCCGTTTTTCGCCATGCCATTTCTGGCTGAGCATTCTGTCAAAAACTTCGCTGCTTCTGCAGAGAATAAGCCGATGTGCGGGATAACTAGAAGATTGGATTTTAAACAAGATATTTTCAATGATTTTCTTCTAAATATTTTTAAAAGAGCACTTTTTACACTAACATTTCCTCCCCAACAACCAATGTTAGATCACTCAGATGAGCATTATTGTAATACTTTGCGAAGTCGTTTAACACATCTCTGTCCATTCCATAACAGTCAATTCCCACTAAAGGGTAATCCATTTTTATATTTTAAAAATTATTTTAACAAGAATTTTCAGAAATAATTGTCAAAAACGTGAAATAAAATTTGCAACTAACTTTGTTCATTGCCGTCAGTCAAAAAGTCTGGCGCTTCAGAACTTGCACTACCACCACCAGTTGATGCCCTATAACAACTTCCACTATTGCCGTCATCTCCGATAAAATTGTTGCCGCTGATTGAGGCGATTACGACCATTGTCTGGGAGCGAATATACAACAAGTAGTGGTTGTGGCAGTACTAATAGTTAAAATATACAAGTGCTAGTTAATAAAAAGAACCGGACAATGAACAACAACAACACAAAAACGGAGATAAATGCGTATGAATTAAAAATAAAAAGAGGGGGGGGGGTAAAATAATGAACGAAATGACGATAAAATATATACGCTGGCAGTGTGTGTATCTAGTCAATTGAAAGAAAAGGGAAATTTATAAGTAGTGAATGAATGCAAAATTCAATGGGGAGGGTATGGGGGAAGGACGTAAAGAAGAAGTGGTTGTCAAAAAATGAAAAAAACACTCAAAAAATAAGGGAGAAAGGTAGTGCAATGCGCAAAATGAATCATAAAACAATCGAGCATTGCCGTGTTTTTTTTTAAATTTGGTAGTAGTAATTTTAAGGTAAATTAAACAAGGGAGAGTATAATGAAAAATGGTCTTTGTTTTTTATTTGGTTTTTGTTTTTAATAAAAATTTTGCATTTTGGCCTCTTTTTTTATAAAAATTTCAATTTTTTCAATCGGAAGATTTTACTTTTTTTTGCGAAATTTTTAAATTTTTACTAGATTTAATTAAATTAGAATTTTTTAGATTAGTCTTTGACTACTTAAAATTTCACTACTTATTTTTTATTCAATGACTTCACTTAACAAACAACAAGATATTGATTACATATCAGAAATTTTTGTAAAAAATTATCAACAATTACCATCAATAATTGAAGATGCAATGGATTGGGCACATTGTAATGGATTAATTTTTAGAACAAAGGAACACAAAGACAGGTTATTTTAAAGATATTTTGATTTTTAAATTAATTTTTTTAGAAGTGACATTTGCCAAATTGCACCATTTTCTTTTTTTCCGTCGCCTTTTCCAAGAAGATTGTTTGATCAAGCATTGTCTGTACAAAAGGTTAGAGTTTAAAAAATAAATGGGGTAATTTTCTAACTGAATGGGAAACCGGTTGAGTTCCACAATTTACTAGTCGATGATTTTTTTAATGTTCCACACTTTCTAATAGGCAAATTTTACCATTGTTTATTGCCTGGGTAGAATTAAAGTTCGTCCCCTCCCCCTGCTTTTTTCTTCTTCAGAGTATTAAAAATGGTCAGACTTTGAGAAAGGAAAGAGGAGGGTGAATTAATTTGAATTTTACCATTACTTGATTTTTTCTCAATTTCAGGCCTTAAATCTTCTTTATTTTAAAGTCTCATGGGATTATGAATTTTTAAAACAAGCACATCAACAAGTTATAAAATCGGATGAATTTACTCGTCGTTTAATGTCAATTCTTGATATTGTTTACAAAGAAGGTATAAAACAACCAATTACTTTACTTACTCAAAGAGCTGATTATATGTGCCATTATGATGGAATATTTACAGAAAATGAAATAAACTTTGATAAATTTCAGTTAAAACAGGTTTTTTATTTTTAACTTTTTGATTCATTAAAAATTTTAAAGATTGAGGTAAACAATATAGCGGTCAGTATGGGTGGACTTGCTGAAAAGACAACTAAACTTCATCGACGTGTATTTAAAAAAATGGGAATGAATGTGCCTAATAATGATGTTATGCCGGTAAATGAACCAATTAGAACACTTTGTGAAGGAATTTATAATGCTTGGTTTATTTTGATTTTTACTTTCTTTCATAAATTTAAATTAGGAAACTTTTATCTAATCCAAATGCTATTTTATTGATGGTTGTTGAAAAAAATAGTCAAAATCAATTTGATCAACGCGCTATTGAATATGGATTGGAAGAACTTTCAGAAGGGAAAATGATTATTATTCGATTGACTTTTGTAGAATGTGCTGATAGGTTTATTACTTAATACTAGAGCTGTCCAAGACTCATGGTCTTGAGTCTTCCAAGACTTTTATTGGGGTTTTCAGGTCTTGGTCTTGGGATTCCGTTTTGGTTTTGTGTCCTGGGAAATTTTCAGTCTTTGACATCTCTATTTTATTTTTTAGCTATTTTAAAACTTAAGACTACTTATTTTTAAGACTTATACTGGATGAAAAAACTTTTAATCTTCTTCTTGGCGATAAAACTGTTGGGATTGTTTACTTTCGTACTGGATATTTACCTGAAGATTATGCTTCTGAAGTCGCCTGGAATGCTCGACTTTTGATGGAACGTTCTACAGCAATTGTATAAATAAAAATTAAAAAAATGTTAATATTAGAAACTTTAGAAAGATATCCTTTTATCTTTAAAAAATTATTTTTTATATTTTCAGAAATGCCCTTGGATTGGATTACAAATGGCTAATACAAAGAAAATTCAGCAGGTTTTTTAAAAATATTTTTTCGAATTTAAAAAATTGTTTGTAGGTTTTGAGTTGCTCTGGTATATTGGAGAAGTACTTGACCTCTTCAAATGATTTGGAAAATGTTCGTTCAACATTCACTTCATTGTGGGGACTTGAACGCGATGATGATGAAACTCAAGAAATTATAAAGGTTTTGGATTTTTAGAATTAAAAAAGAATTTTTGTAAGGATGCCATACAAAATCCACAAAAATATGTCTTAAAACCTCAATTGGAAGGAGGAGGAGGAAATTATTTTGACAAGGAGATAACTGAAAAATTGCAAAGTTTTACTTTTGAGATGCGTGCCTCACATATATTAATGCAAAGAATTCGGCCTTTAATTGTTAAGGTTTGTGGAAATTTCTATTTTTTTAAGAATAATTTTAAGAATTTTCGGAACTTGTTGGTTATTCCAAACCAGTTTTTAGTGGACTTGTAAGGGTTCATAGTGGTCAGAGCATTAATACTTTCCCTCTTTCTATTCATTCAAAAGGTGTTTTTTCTTAAGAAAGGGTTTGAGTCGGAGTAATTTTCTTTAATATTTTTTATATCTGACCATTATGAACCCTCAGAGATTGGTTTGGGTTAACCCACAAGTACCAAATTTTTTTCAGAATTGTTTAATCCGCCCATTTGATGATGACAATTTTAAAAAATTACATAATGTAGTTAGTGAACTTGGAATTTATGGTTCTTTAATTGGAATTGGTGGAAAAGAAGAGGAAGTTAAATTAAATTCAGTTGGTGGCCATATACTTCGAACAAAATTAGAAAACGTTAATGAAGGTGGAATTGCTGTTGGTGCTTCTGTTGTTGATTCTCCGTTTCTTTTTTAATCAAAGAAGATATTTTTAATTAATGTGATGTTGTGGTAATTTTTGTTTTTAATTTATATCCTTTTTAAAATTAGATTTTTTATGGAAAAATTTTTTGATTAAAATTTTCAAATAAAATTCTTTTTCGAAAATATCCCGAAAATAAAGACAAAAGATCCCTCTTTTTAGATTAATTAATTAAGGATATTTTTGGTTTCCCTTTTTCAAAAACAGATTTTTTCGATAAAATCACATTTATTACGTTAAAATACATGAGAGAGTTTTGAGCAAAGAAATTGGGTCCTTGGTAATTAATTTTAAAAGAGATACTTTTTTAAGCACTTGAAGAGGGTATTAGATAAATAAATAATCTTATCTTTTTTATAAATTTTTTTAGAAAATATTTTTAGAGTCCAAAGTGGCCCTTTAGGCTTTTCTCTCCCTTTTTCTTTAAACCTTTCAATCCCTTTCTGACTCTAATTCCCCTTTTCCTCATTTCATTAAACAAAATTAAGTAATGAATGAGGGAAATAAAAGCGACCGTTTAGTTGCAAAAAAGGGGCTGAAAATTAAAACAAAAAAAAAAGAATTTTTTGGACAGCTGTCCGATACTTTGACTCTCTCTCTTTTATCTTCTGATTTTTATCCTATTTTTATTTTTCCTCATTCTCATTAAATCGATTTAATCTAATGAATCATTTGTCCTCCTATTCATTTACCTCATTACAAAAAATGTTTTTAGAGTATGGGAGCCATCTTCTTATCTTTGAAGGTCATCGAGCCTTTTAATTCTATTTTCTTGCGGAGCAGTGAGGTGTACCCATCGAGCCTCTTTTCTTGTTTGACACTTATTAGATTCTAGAACTTTAATTGTCTTTAATTTTATTCTCTTTGATTTTAAGCGGCTTTTGTTGAATTTAGATAAGGGAATAATGAGAGCACAATCTCGATCTAACCGCCAGTCTTTTTGACTAAAATGAGGTCCTTTTTGTTACTTTGAGAGAGGGAAATAAAAGAGTCAGTCGAAATGTTAGATTGATTGTAACAACAAAACAACAACAGAAGCATTTATTATTATTTTTTATTTGTTGTGTTGTCCACTCAAATAATATAGAAAGTAATTATTCGGACGTCCGCACAAACACAAAAATACTACACTAAAAATAATAGCCAAAAAAACTTCTTTTATTTTTAAAGGTTAAGAGGCTCCAAAAGGGCACTCTCCCTCAACTAACTCTCCCTTCCTCTCATTATTTCTCTGAATTTTTAAAAAATTAGGCAAATTGCCTAATTAAAAATTTTTTCTAGATATGATTTTTAAAATTTATTATTGACTTTTAATCCAAAATATGGGAAATAGTGCAAGTGAACATCATCATCAAGGAGGGCGATTCTTTCGTCCAGAAAATCTTTCTAATGGTAGGGCACTTTCAATTAATTTTTTAATTTTTTTATTTTTAAAGATCCTACAGCATTCCGTGTATTTATTAAAAAGAAGAATAAATTCATTCCTGGCTGGCTTAAAGTCAATGACGATGAAATACTTTTTATGCGTGGAAGTAGCCATTTTCAATGCTGGTCTTTGGCACATTTAAGACGTTATGGATATACTTGTTCTGGAGTTTTCTTTTTTGAAAGTGGAAGACGTTGTGCAACAGGAGAAGGATTACATACATTCCAATCACATCAAGCAGAAAGGATATTTCATGTAAGAAAAGATTATTTGAATTATACCTAAATATTTTTATAGATGGTGCAAAGCAAAATAAAAATTGAAGAATATGCGCGTTATTCTCGTCTTGGAAGCGCAGCATCAAATACTAATAATAATACTCCAGTCAGAGTGAATTCATTAGTTCCAGCCCCATTGGCATCTCAACGTATTCATCCTGTTCAAAGATTTTCTAGTGAAGGTTTTTGTTAATTTTTTATTTCTTAATTCTCATTGTAAGGCGCCCCATCACCTTGCAATGTCCCTACACCTACTGTGCCGGCTGCTCCACCTCCTTATACAGCCTTATATCAAGAAGTTAGACGCGCACAGCAAAATGCTTCCCCTTCCTGCCCTTCAGTCATTTCAGCAGTTTCTACAACGATTGCTGGGGCCAATTGCTGTACAAATAGAGTAGAAAGGCCAAGATCCGTTGTGTCAAATATTGAACATGGAACTGCTATTCATCCTCACCGTACAATGCGTCCACATGCAATAAATGGGAACACAAGTAGTTCAACTCTTAATCAACATATTCTTCAGCAACAGCATGGGCAAGTTTTTTTCTCAGAGTCTTTCTAATCTTCAATAAATTTTAAGTTATATAACCCCTTCAATTCCTTCCCAAATGCATCATTCATTGGCTATATCAGCATCAGGTTCTTGCCTAATGGATGCTTCATTTCATTCTGCCCTTGATGCAAATGGTTCAATAACAAATGGAGGCAGTCCTTGGGCAAGTCAACAACAATTGGAGAGAGGAGAAATTGTGTTAGTATTCTTATAAAAAAATTATTTTGACTTGATAATTTTTCTGGAAATTTTTTTTTAATTTTAGAATGGAACATGTTTTGGGCAACAATGAAGATTCTGCTAGTACTGGTGGAAGACGTCGGCTTCTTGGTTCTGGGAGGCACATCTCTTCCAATCAACAACAACGTGGGACATTACCCCTTCGTGTGCCAGTGCCACCACCAGTCCAGTCAACTTCTGATTACAATAACCAAAGGTTGATTTTTAAAAATTAGAAAATTACAAAAATAATTTTTAGTTTAACCCATTCTTGTGCTGCTTGTTCTCCCTCAACTTTATCAAATAATAATAATTGTCCTCCCCCACCACCTCCTCCACGTGATCAAAAACAACGTTTAAATACACATGCATATGTTAATGTTGATTTAAAAACAACTAAAGGGCAATCATCAAATTTGAGTGTTCGTGAATTGCAACAACAACAAAAGAATAATACCTCAACAGATAGAAGAATGGAATTTTTAATTTCTGGACCTGGAGCGTTTCAGTTGTTTGTTTAAAGAAATTTAAAATTGGACAGTGGTCCAGTCCACTCAACAGCCCTTCGTTTTTTTCAACCCTCCTCCCCCCCTATCAACCACTTACAGGGGAAGTAAAAGTCCGTGGACCAAGATACAGGTCCCTAAAATTGAAAAAACATAGCGGGACCAAGCTGCTCTTTGGGGTCAAAAATTTGATTATACAAACGATAACTCATTTGATTTTTTTCCTTCACAGATCTTCCCCCAATCGACCATGTGCAATAAATAATAACTCGTTACAACCTCCGTCAATAAGTTTCAATACAAACTCTTCGAATCCTTCCTGTTCAGCATTTTCACCAACTTCATCTCCAATGCAACATTCTTTTCATGCATTTTGTCCAATTAATAATGAAAATTTACAACAATTTCAAACATCTCCATATTCTTTATCACCTTATCGACAACAACAGCAACAACAACTTGGTTGGAATCGTCGTGAAGTAGAAGATCCATGTCATCGTTTAATGTCTCAATCAATTAGTGGTGCTTTACCTCCATCTCCTAGCGGTATTTTTCCTTATAATGGAAATGGAAGTGCCAACAATAACGACAGTCGACAATTGTCTTTGTATGGAAAAACTTCGAATAGGTTTAGATTTTTTTGGAAATTTTACAAAATTGTCTTTTAGTTTGGAACAAATTGCAACAGGAAGAACAGCCCCAGCCCCTTTACCTTTACAATATTCAACAACAAAACAACAAAATGGTTATCGTGCCTTAAATAGCGGCAGTAGACAACAACTTCTGCAACCTAATAATAATGAAGGTGGAGGAGGAAGTAGTAGCTGTTCAACATTAATTACATCTTCAACAAATACAATGGGAGGAGATTTATAAAACAACAACACGTCAAGTAAATCAACTTTTTCTCTTGGATTTTCTCTTGGAATTTTTTTTCAAGAATTTTTAATTAGTGGGGGTGGCATTAGGAAAAGAAAAAATATTCTAAAATAATATTCTAAGAACATCTGTTATTCTTTTTTTGTTAATTTTTTTTAATATATCTGCTCAAAAATATATATTCTTTACGCTTTTTAATTTAGGTATTGACTTATAGGATACAATTTCAAAAAAAATTTTTTTAGCTCCAACTTTAGGTGTGGTCCAATTAATTTTCCCTATAATTTAATCAAAATTTTATTTAAAAATGGAATTATTTCACAATTTTTATTTAATATTTCCCCTTATTTGGCTTTCTTTCTCTCTTTTGTTTATACTAAAAACAAAGAAATATTTGCGCGGTTGTTAGGGGGGATTTGTATATATTTAGGTTAGAATGGTGGAGGGGGATTTATAGTTTTAGCCTTAATATTTAATAAACTTCGAAAAACAAGTTTTTGTTTGGGAGGGGATTAGTATGGTTTTTCTAATTTATTTTTCAATTTTGTTTTGCTCTTTTTTGTTTATTTGTCTTACAACTCTTGTCATTTTCCGTTTTTTCATTTATCAAATTTTATCAGTCTTTTTGTCTATTGTTTTATTTATAAGCCTTATGAAAGATCCAAAACTCTATCAAATAAGTTTAACTTATGTGAACGAACTCTCAATTATATCCCAAACTTTGTGCCAAATTAGTATATCTATCTAATATCCTCTCTAAAAACATAAATGCCACTTTTTTGTACCGCTCTAAAAATAAATTCTTTGTTGGCCAGTCCACCCTACTGGCTAATAATAACAAAACAACCAGCCACCTTCTCTCTAAATTCTCTCATTATTCTTTTGCATGCGTGCGACAAAAGTATAAATAACATAGGGGGAATAATAACATGGATGAGCTTTTCCTTTTTAAGCGAGAGGTTAGCCGTTGGGCAATACTGAAAAGAGAAACCCTTATTTTGAAATTATTTATTAATTAAATTGTAAAATTGGCGCAAGTATTTCCTTTGTTAGAATTGATTGAAGGGATGATATTAAATTGATATATTAATGAAATATTAAATTCCGGAATATTAATGATATATTAAATTCCGGAAAGGTTTTTACAATTTGTAAAATATTTTATTAATGTTCGGAAAAGTTTTTACAATTTGTAAAATATTTTATTAAATTCTGGAAAGGTTTTTACAATTTGTAAAATATTTTATTAATGTCCGGAAAAGTTTTTACAATTTGTAAAATATTTTATTAAATTCCGGAAAGGTTTTTACAATTTGTAAAATATTTTATTAATGTTCGGAAAAGTTTTTACAATTTGTAAAATATTTTATTAATCTCCGGAAAAGTTTTTACAATTTGTAAAATATTTTATTAAATTCTGGAAAGGTTTTTACAATTTGTAAAATATTTTATTAATGTCCGGAAAAGTTTTTACAATTTGTAAAATATTTTATTAAATTCCGGAAAGGTTTTTACAATTTGTAAAATCTATTATTAAATCCCGGAAAAGTTTTTACAATTTGTAAATATATTATTAAATTCCGGAAAAGTATTTACAATTTGTAAAATGGGAAACGGAGCTAAAAAAGGGGGCATATAACACAAGAGTACCTCTTTTATTTTAGGGTTAGATCCTCTGGGTTGATCCCGGATATAGCAGAGTAGACTAGACTGGTCAGCAAAAAAAATTTTAAAAGATATGTTTATTGACTCATAAATTACAAAAAAATATTTTTTTATTATTCCGAAAGGTTTTAATTTTGTTGTCTTCTTTTATTATTTTTCTTCCTTTCCCCTTGGAAACGAAATGCCTCTCAAAACGTAATTTCCGCATACATTTTAAGGCACTAGATATCTTTACCCATTCTTATAAAACAATAGTTAACAAAAAATGATATTAAAAAATTCTTTCAATTTTTGTTGTCACACATTCTTCTTTTTAGACCATGAAAATATTTTTTTAAAAATTTCCGTGTGGTAAAAGGAGCAATCTCTTAATGATTGTCTAATGATTGCCTTTCCTTCTGACTGAATGATTGCCTTTAAGTTTAAGAATTTTAACTTGAAAATTTATTTTTTTTGGAGACCACCCATATTCTTCTAAAAAAATTTTTTCAACACTCATTTCGTCCAAAATTTTTTTTTGTTTATTCCAGCCCTTCCCCAGACTTGTTGTTTTTTTTTCGCCGTTTTCCCCTTCGTTAATCCTTCCAAGTTTAAAGGGATAATGTTATGTTGTGTTTAAAGTTGTAATAAATAGGAAAGAACATTTTTCTTTTTTAAAGGAAAAATAAATTGTTTAAAGTTTATTTTTTAAGGAAGGATTTTTTAAAAGTTTTTTTTTGCCAAGCTAAAAAAATCCACAAGAAAATTAGGAGGGAAATATAAGGAGAAAATAGGATTTCTAGAGATAATCGTTATTTGTTGTTTCTACATTTCTCCTTGGTGCAATGTTGAAAAATGACTAGTAATTATACAAGACTTGTACCTGGCAGAGCTAGACGTGTCAAAATTTACAGAAATGGTGATGCTCATCACAAGGGTTTAAATGTGAGAGAGATTTTTCTTAATTAAAAAAAAAAGTTCCTTTGATTCAAACAGGTTGTACTAAATTACAAACAAGGCCAAGATATCAACACATTATTAGATTCTATTAGTGAAAGAATTGGGTTGGTATTGGGAGCAAAACGTTTATTTACCACTGATGGAACTCAAATAACTTCAGCAGAGGAGTTGGAACATAATGGGGTATTTTTTAATTTTTTTGGGATCGAGCCATTTTCAACCAATTCAAAGGAATATGTCGCCTCCTCTGGCACATTCACACCAGCAGCATATGGTCAACCAGGAGTAAATCGACTAGGACAGAGCGGAGGTTCATTACGCCGTCCCCGCCGTGACAGTGCCTCTAGATCTACACAAGAAAATAATTCTTTGGGCTCTTCATATTCTGCTACAAGGCAAACAAGAAGTATTGAAAGAACAAGTGAAAAGACGGCATCAGCACCAAAACAAAGGACAAAGAAGCTTAGCAAGAAAAAGGGTTTTTAAAATGTGGGAAATTTAAATTGTTTGATTTTTAAGTAAAAGAAAAGGCTCCTCCAACTCCAGAAGAACCTGCCGCACCCCCAACAGCCGATAATAATGTCGATGAGGCAGCGAATGAGGAAGATTCAGAGGTGAATAATCAAAATGGAGAGGTAAAATCACCAGAGGGAACAACAGAAGTAGAGGTGATAGAACATGAACAGCATGATGAAGAAGAGGAAAAAGTGGAGGAAGAAGAAAAGGCTGAGGTTAGGTTTTAATATTTAACGTAAATATTTCCTAATATGTCACTTGAGTGGGTTTCTATTAGAGAGCGGGCTTATATTTTTCGATGAGTCTTCCCGGGAAAGAGACTCTCTTTCCTCTAATTAGAGCATTTACGGTAGTTAAGAATCAACAGTATTTCTTTTTAAAGGAAGAGACTTCTGAACATCCTGAAGAGGAGAAGGAAGAAGAACATAATGAGGAAACTGCAGCTACACCAGTAGGGGAAGGTTATTGATTATTTTTAATGAAAAAAGTTCAAAAAATTTAGAAGAATCCGAAAGAAATGGGGAGGAAGGAGAACATGAAGAAGAGAAAAAAGAAGAGGATGAGGAGGAGGAGGCTGAAGAAAAAGAAGAGACAGAGGAGGAAGAGAAACGACAAAGCACCCCAAAAACACCAACTTGAAAATAATTCTTAAAATAAAATTTTGTCAAAAAACATTCTTCAACTAGTTTTTTTCTGTTTATTAAAACTATTTAAAGAAAAACAAAACAGAAAATATTTTCAAACTTTTATTTGGTTGGAAATTGTAATTGATGTATACATTTATACGTCTCAAGGGCCAATTCAGCATCAGTTAAGCTGCTCATTTCGCAAAGATGAAGCTAATTTTTAAAAAGAAAAAATTAAAAAAAAACTTTAAAATTTTAAAGAAACCTCTGTAACATTGACAGGGTCAAAATTTAATTTGCCAAATTTTTCCAAAAGTTTGGATACATTCAAAAAGGACCTCTTTTTCTTAAAAAAATTTAATTAGGACTATTTTTAGAAAATTACAAAATTTAAACCTCTCGTAAATATTTTGTATTCATCATCGTCATGTGCAACACAACTTCTTTGGATTTTCGTTTTTCGGTTAAAAAGGAAGCTGAGAGAGATTCTTCAACAATATTGGCCAATTTTTGGAGTCTAAAAAAGAAAAAATATTTTAAAATTAAAAAAAGTAAAAACCTTTCAGAAACACATTTGGCAAAAAGAACAGCAATTTTGTCTGTAGGTCTATCTTCAAAATGTTCAAGTTCAGTAAATTCAAGTTGAATATGTTCAAGGTCAGAATTTGTAAAAATTTCTCTTAAAATTATTTTTTTAAATTTTTCCAAGAAAATTTACTTGACGGCTTCTGATTGAAACAATTCATCCAAAAACTGTTTGGCAGAGTTGACATCTTCCTCTGTAAATAATCTAAGAACACAGAGAGTCAAATGAAGCTTGCTTGGAGTTATAAAAAGGTCTGGATTTCTACAATCTTCCTAACAAATTTAAAATTAATTTTTTATTTTGAAAAGAAAAAAACCGGCAAATCCTCATCTGCACGAATGCTGTGAACAAAATTTTGGTATTGCTCCCTTATTTTAACACTAGTCAATCCAACGGGGACAGAAACAAAATGTGTGGGCATTGCCTGTTTGCGAGCCTTTTCAACAGCTACTTCTAACGCATTTCGACATTTCAGAACATTTTCGGCTGATTGTGGAGAGGTAATTTCTAAGTAAAATTATTTTAAAAATTTGAAAATTTTCTGTTTGAAAAAGAATTTATTTTAAAAACTCCAAACTAATTTCAGTCATTTTTCCATGAACTTTTTCTTTCTTCTTGGGGTAATGTATTTTGCAGCCAAATTCTTTTTCCATTACTCTTTGTTTATAACCTTCTTTGCCTTTAATTAAACCAATAAGAGCACCAGGTATTTGAATTCTAATTAAGAAAAAATTTTCAAAAAAATAATTTTAAAAATTTAAAAAACAAACCTGTCATAATATAAAGAATCTTTTGTATCATATTTAATAGAATCAATTAATTTAATTTGTTGTTTTTCTTCTTTTTCAATAATTAAAGTTTCCTTATTATTTTTTATTATTGTCTGTTGTTCTTCTAATATTTCAATTTGTATCTTTTTTGGAGGTGTTGGGCCAATAATTTTTTTATTTAAATGTTCTGGTTGATCTGTTGGTGTTGAAGACGATTCTTCTTTTGGAGGGAAGACGTCTTTTGAATGACTTGGCTTTTCTGTAATAAAAAAGTATTAGAAATATTCCTTAAGAGGTAAGTAGCAAGGAAAGTTCTGGGAAAAAGTCGAGATAAATCTGAACTTATGGGCAATATCCAACAGTCAAATCTTCAGAAGAAGGTACAAAGGTTCTTAAAATACGCGCATAAGAGATAGGAAACACGGTAATCCTGGGAAAAATCTTTTGGCTGGACCCGGACTTAGGACCGAATCATCAGTACAATCTCTAATAAGAAAAATCCTTCAAAATATAAAATCAACCTTGTTCTTCTCTAATTTCCAATAAAGTGTTGGTAGTTGCTTCTTCAATCATTTCACAACTTCTTTCCTCCTCTTCTTCCATTTCATTAAATTTTTGGGCGGAAACAGCTGCTGGATTTGTTGTATTTACCATTTCAAGAGGACAATTTCGACGATAAGTTTGGTTTCCAACTTGGTAAGTAGGCACTTCGAAGGGATTTTGCATTGCCAAAAGTTTAGATTTGCCGCGAAAAGTGATTGTTGTTGTTGACAATTTGATGGGTAGACGAAGTAAATGTTTTCGCATTCAATTCTTCAAAAGTTCATGAAGGGTTGTTTACCGCCTCTATAAGACTAAAAAATTGTTTAAAAAATAAATTAAGAGAAAAATTAAAAATATTAGAAAAAGAACACTCAGAAAAACATCAAAAATCTTCTGAATGTTTAACCTTCCAAATAAATTAAAAAACAAATTAAAGCTCTAATATTCATTTATTAAAAATAAATAAATAAAAAAATACTATCTATCATTAACACCAAGTTTAGAAGCAATTTTCTTCCTTTCTTCAATTTTTGCAACTTCTCTTGCCAATTGTTTCCTCAATTCTTCATACCTAGGCGTATATTCTTTTAAAATATCAACTTTCCCTTCTTCAATTTCTGCTTTCATTAGAGCAAATGGATTGTAAATTTTAAATATAACAGTCGTGCCAACAATAGCTCCACCAAGAAAAACACAAAATTTACGTGCATAATCCCAACTTGTTGATGGCAACATAAATTGAACTTAAAGTATGTTTAAATCCCTGAAAATTATAAAATTTTACTTGAAAATTGTCAAATATAAAAAATTCTGGGAGAGTGACTAGATTGTTTTTGTATATTTTACTTTTTTACACTTTGAAATAGCTTGAGTTTACATTTTGAAGTTCTCCACGAAATAGTGTTTTCTAGAGAAATAAAGTAAATTTTTAAATAATACTCGTTGGCGATTATTTTGGCATTACGTTATTATTGATTTTCAGGATTATTGATTTTCCTCTGTTGTCCATTTATAGCAAAGATGTTCTACAACAGAATGAAGGCTTTTCTCTTTTTTGGGGATTAACCTTTTTGGGGGGGTCGAGGGAGTAATGACTTGCGGACAAGACTTGCTTTTTTCAATTTTTGAAAAATATAGCCAATCTTTTTCAGTCTTCACTTCAGCAACAACAACAGCAGCAACAACAACAGCAGCAACAACAACAGCAGCAACAACAACAGCAGCAACAACAAAAGTCCCAATGTATCGCTTCGGCGGTATATGGGCAAAAGTCCCAATGTATCGCTTCGGCGGTATATGGGCAAAAGTCCCAATGTATCGCTTCGGCGGTATATGGGCAAAAGTCCCAATGTATCGCTTCGGCGGTATATGGGCAAAAGTCCCAATGTATCGCTTCGGCGGTATATGGGCAAAAGTCCCAATGTATCGCTTCGGCGGTATATGGGCAAAAGTCCCAATGTATCGCTTCGGCGGTATATGGGCAAAAGTCCCAATGTATCGCTTCGGCGGTATATGGGCAAAAGTCCCAATGTATCGCTTCGGCGGTATATGGGCGATGACTTCAGTGCAACGATTAAACTCCAATGCTCTCGTCTACATGGTTAGCTTTTTTACTTTATTAAATTCGCAAGTTTTGTCCGCAAGGTTTCTCCCCTAAATAAGTTTATCCTTTCTCTATGTTGAGCCATTTAAATAGTGGCCAAGTTCTTAACAAATGAGAAGACGCTCAGCAAATGTTCCATTGGTTAGATGTACTGATTGCTTGTTTTGAATGGTTGATCTTTTGATAGGTTGTTTTTATGTTTAAAGGTTTTTTAATTACTTAATTTTCAGCTTTAAGAGAGTATCCAGAAGCCTTGGAAACTTTTAAGAGGTTATTTTTAATTATTTACTAAGGTTTCAATATTATTTTTTAGGGCAGTGAATTGTTGCGGGAAGACAATCTTTTTGATGAGTATGTTTTAGAAGAACAAGAATTAGCAGAAAAATGACTGAAGATCTCAAATCTTGACAGCATTCAGCAAATTAGGTTTGAAGATTAATTCATTTGTTTGATTATTTGGTTTCCACAATTTTTCGTTTATCGGGTTTTGCCCCTTTTTAAAACTTACTAATTTAAAAATCCATGTTATCAATGTTTAAACCTCCGTCCAGTTGCTTTCCTTGGGTATTGTGAGTTGTCGAGGGTTTTGTTGGCCCACCAGATTTCACGATTATACAACATTCGAAAGAGCTCGTCGAGCTGACTTGAGCGGGGGAAGAAGGCATATGGACGTACAGGGACCGAGTTTTATAGACTCCTGAAAACAAAAGTAGCTGATTTTGGGATGAAAAATTCGAACATGCAAATAATAGCCACAGGGATCTTTTTATTCTCAAGATCGAACCAAATAAACCTTCCTTTTCTTTTGAGATTTTCAAGCTTAGGGGTTTGCAAACAACTTAAATTCAAGACATTTTTGTTTCTTTAACGATTTATTTTTTCAGTTTAAAAACGTATAGACGAGGAACAAATGGTCAAACACGGACAAATATTGACTGTCTACAAAGACAAACACAACATCTGGACGTTGAGCAATAAAGAAGCAATGGAATTACAAAAGAAGTGCTTGGGAAAGGAAACGAAAACATAGTTTTTTTATTTTTTTTTGTTTACTTAGATACAGTCGAAATATCAATCAAACTGTTGGAAAGTCTTCGACATTATCTCAAAAATGAAAAGAAAATTTACGGATTAACTGTCAAATTCCCAATTTCGACTGTATTACAATTGTCGAGTTTTATATAATTTTTCTTATTTTTTAGCCAGATTTTTATTTGTTTGAATAAATAAAAATGAATTTGTTGTTGTTGAATTACCATTTTTCATTAAACTATCGAGGACTTTAAATTTAAATCGACTTCTAGAAGAATTTAACGGTCTTATACCCTAATTAAATTCCAAATAGACCATTTCTCATGTTATTAGACTCTTGTATTCCTTTTTGTGTTGAGTACTACTCTTGCTCCTTTTTAAGTAAGTTGGAATGTAGCAAGTAGAGAAAGAAAATGTTTGAGGGAGTTGATAAGTTGGGATGTAATGCTAAAAATAAATGACATTTTGTCCCAAAAGTTAGAGAAATTTTATAAAACATATAGTGTAGCTAGAGAAAAAAATAAATATCAATGTTTAGGCCGGTTCAGTGCTGAATTCAGAGAGTGCAAAGTTACTGTATTTGAAATATAATTTTTGATAAGAATTTAAAAAATATTTATGTTTGTTCATTATTATCTTTCAAACGCCATGTTAATGTTTTTAAGATTTTTCTAGGATGTAAGATACTAAGAATTTAGTGTCCATGTAAGATTATTTTTGATTATTTTTACTCAGTTGGACATTTTGAGATGTGTCATTTTTGGAGAGGGAATTTTTGGGTTTCTATTCATGGGGACATTTTCTGGGCACTCCCTTGTTGTCTTTATAAACAAAATAATAATTTATACAAGGAGAATTGATTCTATTTATAATATATTAATCTTCGTCAATTTTTTATAAATATTTATATCCTATTTAAAAGGCCGATTAATAAATGACCGGTCACTAAAAGACCGAACGGTCAAACTGGGTCAGAAGATCGTTAGTAAAAAGATCGTGGCACTAAAAGACCGGAACAGCATAAAAGGGTTGGAAGATCGGTTAATAAAAAGACCTTGCACTAAAAGATCGGAACGGGCAAAAAAGGGTTAGAAGATCGGATACGTAAAAGAACGTTGCATCAAGAGACCGGAAAAGCCAAACAGAGGTTAAAAGACTGGCGCAGCAAGAAATCGTAAGAAATTGATAATTTCGAAGGCTATGCGAGTAATATCCGTTGCATGGCTTTTAAAAGCCCAAAAATAGACAAACAAAATATTTTTTAAATTCTTATCAAAAATTATATTTCAAATACAGTAACTTTGCACTCTCTGAATTCAGCACTGAACCGGCCTAAACATTGATATTTATTTTTTTCTCTAGCTACACTATATGTTTTATAAAATTTCTCTAACTTTTGGGACAAAATGTCATTTATTTTTAGCATTACATCCCAACTTATCAACTCCCTCAAACATTTTCTTTCTCTACTTGCTACATTCCAACTTACTTAAAAAGGAGCAAGAGTAGTACTCAACACAAAAAGGAATACAAGAGTCTAATAACATGAGAAATGGTCTATTTGGAATTTAATTAGGGTTTCACGTTAAATTCTTTTAGAAGTCCATTTAAAGTCCTCGATAACGAATAATGAAAAATGGTAATTCAACAACAATAAATTCATTTTTATTTATTCAAACAAATAAAAATCTGGCTAAAAAATAAGAAAAATTATATAAAACTCGACAATTGTAATACAGTCGTAATTGGGAATTTGACAATTAATCCGTAAATTTTCTTTTCATTTTTGAGAAAATGTCGAAGATTTTCCAACAGTTTGATTGATATTTCGACTGTATCTAAGTAAACAAAAAAAATAAAAAAAACTATGTTTTCGTTTCCTTTCCCAAGCACTTCCTTCTTTTGTAATTCCATTGCTTCTTTATTGCTCAACGTCCAGATGTTGTGTTTGTCTTTGTAGACAGTCAATATTTGTCCGTGTTTGACCATTTGTTCCTCGTCTATACGTTTTTAAACTGAAAAAATAAATAGTTAAAGAAACAAAAATGTCTTGAATTTATGTTGTTTGCAAACCCCTAAGCTTGAAAATCTCAAAAGAAAAGGAAGGTTTATTTGGTTCGATCTTGAGAATAAAAAGATCCCTGTGGCTATTATTTGCATTTTCGAATTTTTCATCCCAAAATCAGCTACTTTTGTTTTCAGGAGTCTATAAAACTCGGTCCCTGTACGTCCATCCGCCTACTTCCCCCGCTCAAGTCAACTCGACCAGCTCTTTCTAATGTTGTATAATCGTCAAATCTGGTGGGCCAACAAAACCCTCGACAAGTACAATACCAAAGGGAAGCAACTGGACAGACTTAAACATTGATAACGGGGACTTTTTTAAATTAGTAAGTTTTAAAAAGGGGCAAAACCTGAATTAATAAACGCGAAAAATTATGGAAACCAAATAATCAAACCAATCAATTAATCTTCAAACCTAATTTGCTGAATTTTAATAAAAGATTGCAGTTCTTCGGTCATTTTTTCTGCTGATTCTTGTTCTTCCAAAGCATTCTCATCAAATAGACGTCCTTCCCGCAACAATTCACTGCCCTAAAAAATAATCTTGAAACCATAGAAATAATTAAAAATAACCTCTTTAAAATTTTTTAACAGCATCTGGACACACACTCAAAGCTGAAAATTAAGTAATTGAAAAACTCTTAAAAATAAAAACAACCTATCAAAAGAGCAGGTATTCAAAACAAACAAATCATTGCATCTAACCAACGGAACATTTGCTTTACGTCTTCTCGTTTGACAAGAACTTGGCCACCGTTTAATTGGCTTTAACATTGAGAAAGGATAAACTTATGAATGGGAGAAACTTTGCGGACAAAACTTGCGAATTTAATAAAGTAAAAAAAGCTAACCATGTTGACGAGAGCATTGGAATTGTATAGTTGAAGCTTGCCCAGAATCGCCGAAGCGAATGGGACTTTGGCTGCCCAGAATCGCCGAAGCGAATGGGACTTTGGCTGCCCAGAATCGCCGAAGCGAATGGGACTTTGGCTGCCCAGAATCGCCGAAGCGAATGGGACTTTGGCTGCCCAGAATCGCCGAAGCGAATGGGGCTTTGGCTGCCCAGAATCGCCGAAGCGAATGGGACTTTGGCTGCCCAGAATCGCCGAAGCGAATGGGACTTTGGCTGCCCAGAATCGCCGAAGCGAATGGGACTTTGGCTGCCCAGAATCGCCGAAGCGAATGGGACTTTGGCTGCCTAGGACTTTTGTTGTTGTTGCTGCTGCTGAAGAACTAAAAAAAAATGGATAAATTTTTCAAAAATTGAAAAAAAGCAAGTCTTGTCCGCAACTCAATTCTATCCCTAAAAAGGTTAACCCCCAAAAAAAGAAAAGCCACGCATTCTGTTTAGAACATCTTTGGTAAAGATGGACAACAGAGGATTCCAAATGAAACAACAAAAATCGATTATTGATTTTTGGGATGAAGTGTCATTTAACGTTAATATTTTGCATTATGCCAAATACCGCAGATTGTTGAATTCTGAAACTAATATTCATTAATGGTAAAAAGATATAGTAGCGGTTTTAAAATACGGATTTCTAGTTTTTAATTGGGGATATTGGGAACACATGAAGTAACAACACACAAAAAACATGTAGAGGTCAGAGAAAAGCATTTTCACTAAACTGCCACAAGAAAAATTAATTATTTTTCTTTAACCAGTACATGTTTTACGTGTCTAAACAATGGCTGTCGAGTAAAAATCAATAAATGCAGAAAGAGTGTGGGAAATGAAGAGACACTAAACAGTTAGAGTCGAGGTCAGTTCAGTGCGAAAAAGTCAGTTAGGTGTGACAGCTAGCTTGTTTTGTTGCAAATACTAGAGGATTCTCTCTTCAAGTTTCAATTCGAAATACTACATATAAAACTGATTAGGGACACTGAACTGACTACAGACAGTAGCAGAACAAAATAAACATGTAAAGAAAATTTAAAAAAATAAAAATTGTTAAAAAATCAGCAATTTTTAAAATAAAAAATAATTAAAAAAGCATCCTTTAAACAACCTTGGAATCATCATTCTTATTCTCCTCAGCATCAGCCACCGCTAATCTCGATTTTTCCGAGCTATTCTCTTGCATTTGCTCATCCACTAAAGAACAGAATTTTTTTCATCTAGCAATTCCAAAAAAGAATTTCTTACCTTTCCCCTGCATTTTTTCTTCTAGATGATCCACCTTCTTTTTGAATACATCCTGAACCAAATGCTGCAGATTGTGTTTCTCCTAAATTTAAATTTGAAATTTTTTTAAAAATAAATTTGAAAAAGTCCCTCAAAAAGGCCTTATAAAAATTCAAAGGGTATCGAAAATATCTCTCTCTCTCTTTGTTGTTCCCTCAAAACTATACTAAAAAAGAGATGAGAAGGATCAATCAAGCATGTGAACAAAATAAAAACGTTACGAGAAAGAAGAAAAAACATGGATTTTTGGATATAAACTCTTAATCAAGAAAAAGAGCGGCTGTCAATTAAAAAAACTATTTTTTATATATCCATCTTCAATAAGAAAACTCGACCCTATCCTAAAAAGAAGGCGCCTTGAATTTTTTTCATCATTTTTTTCCAACTTTAATATATATTTAATGGTCAGTCTTTTCTTCTTCGTTCAACTCCACTCTTTTTACCTGTGGCATATTCAAATGAGACGACAGAAAAATACACTCACGGACAGACAATCACGGCAAAACACGGACAGACAAAGCACGGACGAGCTCGGACGAACACGAACGAGCACGGATGAATACGGACAGACAAAACACGGACGAATACAGACAGTCAAAACACGGACGAGACGGATGAATACGGACAGACAAAGCACTGACGAACACGGACAGACAAAACACGGACAGACAAAACACGGACGAACGCGGACAAACACGGACGGGCACGGATGAATACGGATAGACAAAGCATGGACGAACACGGACAGACAAAACACGGACGAGCACGGACAGACGAAGCAAGGTTGTGTTTGTCCGTCCGTGTTTTGTCTGTAGTGTATGTGCTTTTCTGTTCAATTGAATATGCCAAAGGTAAAAAGAGTGGAATTGAACGAGGAAGAAAAGACTGACCATTTTTATATATTAAGGTTGGAAAAAAATGATGGAAAAAAATCAAGGCGCCCTCTTTTTAGGATAGGGCCGAAAACTCCTTCAAAATATAAAATAAACCTGGTTCTTCTCTAATTTCCAATAAAGTGCTGCTGGTGGTTTCTTCAATCATTTCACAACTTCTTTCTTCCTCCTCTTCCATTTCATTAAATTTTTGGGAGGAAACAGCTGCTGGATTTGTTGTATTTACCATTTCAAGAGGACAATTTCGACGATAAGTTTGGTTTCCAACTTGGTAAGTAGGCACTTCGAAGGGATTTTGCATTGCCAAAAATTTTGTTCTAGATTTGTAGCGAAAAGCGATTGTTGTTGTTGACAATTTGGTGAGTAGACGAATTAAATTATTTTGCATTCAATCCTTCAAAATTCCATGAAGAGTTTGTCGCCTATATAGGACTAAAAAATGTTTGAAAAAATAAATTGAGAGAAAAATTAAAAATATTAGAAAAGGAACACTTCAGAAAATCTTCTGAATGTTAACCTTCCAAATAAATTTTAAACAAAAAAATTAAAGCTCTAATATTCATTTATTAAAAATAAATAAATTAAAAAAATACTATCTATCATTAACACCAAGTTTAGCAGCAATTTTCTTCCTTTCTTCAATTTTTGCAACTTCTCTTGCCAATTGTTTCCTCAATTCTTCATATCTAGGCGTATATTCTTTTAAAATATCAGCTCTTCCTTCTTCAATTTCTGCTTTCATTAGAGCAAATGGATTGTAAATTTTAAATATAACAGTCGTGCCAACAATAGCTCCACCAAGAAAAACACAAAATTTACGTGCATAATCCCAACTTGTTGATGGCAACATAAATTGAATTTAAAATATGTCCAAATCCCTGAAAATTATAAAATTTTACTTGAAAATTGTCAAATATAAAAAATTTTGGGAGAGTGACTAAATTGTTTTTGTATATTTAATTTTTTACACTTTGAAATAGCTTGAGTTTACATTTTGAAGTTCTCCACGAAATAGTGTTTTCTAGAGAAATAAAGTAAATTTTTAAATAATACTCGTTGGCGATTATTTTGGCATTCCGTTATTATTGATTTTCAGGATTATTGATTTTCCTCTGTTGTCCATTTATAGCAAAGATGTTCTACAACAGAATGATGGCTTTTCACTTTTTTGGGGATTAACCTTTTTGAGGGGGTCGGGGGAGTAATGACTTGCGGACAAGACTTGCTTTTTTCAATTTTTGAAAAATGTAGCCAATCTTTTTCAGTACTTCACTTCAGCAACAACAACAACAGCAGCAACAACAACAACAGCAACAACTACAGCAGCAACAACAAAAGTCCCAATGTATCGCTTCGGCGGTATATGGGCAAAAGTCCCATGTTAGCTTCGGCGAAATATGGGCAAAAGTCCCATGTTAGCTTCGGCGAAATATGGGCAAAAGTCCCATGTTAGCTTCGGCGAAATATGGGCAAAAGTCCCATGTTAGCTTCGGCGAAATATGGGCAAAAGCCCCATGTTAGCTTCGGCGAAATATGGGCAAAAGCCCCATGTTAGCTTCGGCGAAATATGGGCAAAAGCCCCATGTTAGCTTCGGCGAAATATGGGCAAAAGCCCCATGTTAGCTTCGGCGAAATATGGGCAAAAGCCCCATGTTAGCTTCGGCGAAATATGGGCAATGGCTTCACTCCAACAGTGCAACGATTAAACTCCAATGCTCTCGTCTACATGGTTAGCTTTTTTACTTTATTAAATTCGCAAGTTTTGTCCGCAAAGTTTCTCCCTTAAATAAGTTTATCCGTTCCCAACGTTAAAGCCAATTAAACGGTGGCCAAGTTCTTGTCAAACGAGAAGACGTACAGCAGATGTCCATTGGTTAGATGCATTGATTTGCTTGTTTTGAATAGTTGATCTTTTTATAGGTTGTTTTTAAGTTTAAAATTTTTTTAATTAATTAATTTTCAGCTTTGAGAGTATCCAGAAGCCTTGAAAATTTTAAAGAGGTTATTTTGAATTATTTACTGTGGTTTCAAGATCATTTTTTAGGCCGGTGAATTGTTGCGGGAAGACCGTCTATTTAATGGGTATGCTTTAGAAGAACAAGAATCAGCAGAAAATATCTTGAAGAACTCCAATCTTTTGTTTGAATTCAGGTTGCCGATTATTAATGAATTAAAAAGAAAATACGTTTAACTTTTTTTATTTTTTTATTTTGTATCTGACAAAAAGAAAAGGTATTTTCCCCCAAGAGGGTTTTCGCACCCTTCACTGTTCATTAAACAATTTTTAGACTACCAGTGGATGAGGGAAGAGAATTAAAAATAAATCACCCGGGACGGGTTCGAACCCGCGACCCCCTTTTCTCTATTTTCCATTGATTTCTAATGCTGTTTCAATTTGGATTTTTCTCTCATCAAAAAATATTTTTCCGCGCCTTGTTTTTTTCCTGTTTTAAGTTTTCGGCACATTAAAGAATAAGCGGCTTTTGACAATTCATTTTTCAACATTTTCTAGTATTTCCCCTTCTTTAAAATATGAAAAATGAGAAAAGCGGCATAAAATTAAAAAAATAAATGCCATCAAAAATATTTTTTGAGAGTTTTGCTGACAGCCGATATGTTTTTATTCTCCAAAACAGTTGTCATCAACCTTGTTTTTCGACACAAAAAGCGACGCCAAAAAAGATGACTAGAAAAAAGATGAATATTTTTGTGAAGAAGGAAGAGGACAATAAAATGGAAGAAGCAAAAAATTCTACGGCACAAATGGCGCGCAAAAAATTTTTTTTCAATGTGTGCCACTTCTCTTTTTGGCATTTTTTTTCTTCCCTGATTTTTGCCTATTTTTCTATCCAATCTCCCGCCCATTTTTCCTTCCCTGTCTTCTCATTTTTATTTTCACATCTGCCTATAACGCGCCGGAGAACGCCGCATTCATTTTAAAGGCGATCTAAATGTGCCGATAAGAAAAAGATGGCAATTTCTTTGCAAATAAATATTTTATTTTCATTTTCTTCAAATTTTCGTTTATTTTTGCATTCTTCGATTTCCTTTTAAATTCTTTAAATCCTAGCTTTTTCTTCTTAATTCCTTAAATCCCTATCCTTTAATTTTCTATATAAGCTTTAATTTAACATTGTATTGTAAGTTGTAGCGTGTCCGAATGGTTAGCGAGCTGGGTTCGAGTTTTTTAATATGTGAGTTCGAACCCCTTTGGTGCCCCGATACTTTTTACTTATTTTTTAATGTACATTAACATGTTTTACAACTTTCAATCAATCTTTTTTGCATTTTTAAATTTTTATTTGCTAGAATTCTGTTTCCCACTACTATTTATAACTCTTAAATTGATTGATGTACTTTTATTTTGCCTTATTTATTATTTAATACCATCGATCATTTTCATTATTTTTTTCCATTTAGTTGATGTGTGCCATAAGCATTAGAACACAAAATTGTGTAATATAATGGATGGGGTTTTGAGTTCTGGAGGAAAACGGGGTTACTTAATGTTTTAATAAGGATATTTGGATTTTTATAGTACATAGAATGTCTTCTAAAATGCCCTAACTAGTGAGAATTTGCCCTAACTTTCCTTCATTTTCTAGCTTTTTTTTTAAATCCCAAAGATTTATTTTATCAAAAATTATTTAAAATATCGCTTATATTTTACTTTAAAATCTTCTAAAATTTTTTTGTTGCCCACCTGCAAACCTTTCCTTTATTTACTTCCTATTTCCGCTAAAAAGTCGGTTTTTTCTGGTTTTTCTGTTTAAATTTTTTGACCGTTTGAAGAGAGAGATTATCTTTTAAGTGAAACTAAATTATAGACAAAATCCTTCCTTTAAAAAATTTTTTAAAATTTAATAAATGACCTATATATTCCTCTCTACCTTTCCGGTTTTTCCTTCTGCTCCTCTCCTTACCTTTTTAAACTCTTTTAAAGATAGCCGCGCGCGAGTACCGCTCTCGGAGAATTTAAAGGTGTGAGAAAATAGAAGCGGTAAACAAGAAAAAAAAAGCAAAATCACAAAAATGACCGGATTATTCGAGAAATTGTATTGCGCAACAATTGTAAATAAAGCAACAAACACAAGAAATTCTCGAATACAAAGACATAAAAATGTCGGCATTTTTTGGAAATAAATTTTCGGCGGCATTTTTACCTGTGGATTGTTTAATTAAAGGAAGGGAAGGAAATAAAAATTTATAGAAAATGGCCAAACTATTTTGGGATATTTAAGCTATAGAAAGGGGTACTGTATATCCTCACCTAGTTGTTAAATATTGCCTGAGGCAATACCCATTAAAAATATTTTCCAGTCATTTTCTGGTATCGTAATATACCTTGATACTAAATTATTAATAATCTCCTAATCTCTTTAGAAGCTTTCAATTAAAATTAAAATTGAAATACGACCTCCGTAGATTTATCAAGTTTTTCTTTACTTTCCTATACCTTAATTTCTCGATTAATTCCCCATGCTAGGGATGAGTTGAAACAATAATTCCCCTCCCCCGAGTGTTCTATTGCATGTTCAAATTTCAAAACTAATCTCCCCCTCGAATAATTTCCAATGCCAGGGATGTAGTTCCCTAGGGGAAGCTTATCTTTTACTAAAAATATAGTAAATTCTTTTATTAATATTTTTACTGATAACTTTGTTTATTCTCAAATCTAAAAAAACACCGAAGGGGTCATCATTAAATTGGGAAAAAATAAGTATAAAAATCCTCCCTTCCAAAAAATAACCCAAAAAAACTGATAAGATGTGCGAAAACCTTGTTTTTCCTTCACCTTTATTTTTCCTAATGGCGCAATCATCTCAACAAAAAATTTTCAGGGTCGTCACGGTATGGGGTTGTTGGCACACAAAAACCCTCAACAACAGTTGGTCATTTATGGCAGAAAAACGACGCCATCGAAACAACAAAAATGAGGGAAAATGTGAAAATGAGAGAAAGTAGAGGATGATCAATGGGAGGAAGGGGGTTTGGCGCCATGGGGGAAGGAAAAAGCTTCGGCAGAAGGGGAGGGAAGAATGGCATTTTTTGGAGGAAATGAATATATTTGTTTTAGAAAAATGAGATAATGGAGGAGTTGATGAAGAGGTGGAGGGGGATATAGAATGGACAACAGAGCACATTTCCTCTCTCATTTTTAGCTACCATTTCCTTTTCTTCTACCATTTCCTCTTCCCAAAAAAGCCTTCCCCTTCACTCTTCTTCAAAAAGCCTTACAGTCCATTCTCCTTCATTTTTCCTTCCTACTTCCTTCACCTGTCCTTCCTCCTATATATTCCTCCAAGCTCTGTTCGTCCTTCTGTCGCGCGCTCTTCAGTAAAAAGAGAAAGAACCTTTCCTCCTTCATTTTTCTTCCTCTCTCACATTGCGCATTATAACTTCACAAATATATAAAACCTTTTCTTTCTTGTCACAAAAATGGACGCTCCATTTTCCCTCATTTTACAAGGATATTTAACAGGAATGTTTTATAACACCTTTTTGTGACAATTAGAGAGATTGCCTGAGGCAATAAACACACTTTCTAATTAATTTAATAATATGTTAATTTATTTTGTATGTTCTTTTGTAAGTTGAAAGGGTTGGAGGGTCTTCCTTAGAAAGGATTTGGGGGAAATTTATTTTAGGAATCCATAACATTTATTTGTAAGACTACAATAGTCTTATGGCCTAGACCGTTGACTCAAGCGAAACGTAAATAAGTTCCGAAACGGAACGTCCCACTTGTGTACCGGCCGTTTGTGTACCTGGCCATGTTTTGGGCCATAACTTTCTCGATTCTTAATTGATTTAAATAATTTATATGTCAATCGAAAGCCCTGGATGTGATGATTATTTTTGCCAACAGGAATTATTTGATCAGATCATTACACAAAAAGTTATAGCCAGATAAATGCGTGCAATCGTGATTTTGATCTTTATCTGGCTGTAACTTTTTGTTTGTTGATCTGATCAAATAACTCATGTTGGCAAAAATAATCCTCACATCCAGGACTGTCGATTGATAAAAGATTTATCCGAATTGGTTGAAACTACAAAAAGTTATGGCCTAAAATATGGCCAGGTACACAAACGGCCGGTACACAATGATCCCCTACCCGTTCCGAAAAGATTTTGCAGGATCCCCTATAAGTTTTGGAATTTTTAAAATTATTTGTAAAAGACAGCCTTTTTTCTTCCTTCTTTAATCTATTTTTTTAATTTTTCAAATGTAAATTTGTATTTTTTCTCCTTTTATTCGCGCGTTACAAAAAATGATTTATCCATTCTTCTTTATTCTTTACCGAAATTTCCCTCATTTTTTCACATTCGAACTTTAAATTTTTTATTAAAAGTTTTTTGAAAAATAAAATTTTTTTTAGACTTTTTAAGACTTTCCTAAATTATTTTTAAAAATGAATGAAGAAAATAAATTTGTAGACGTTTGTGGCGATTTTGATGAAGAAAATAAAGAAAATTGTTTTAATACTAGACAAGCTAAAATTAAAATTAAAGAAGAAAATATTAGAACAATTAAAGGAGATGGAATTGAAGGTAATTGAATGTTGATCCTAAGATTTATTGTTAAGGAGGTGGTCTTTTGGGTACCGTAAATTATTCTTGAAATTTGATATTAAGGAGGTGATCTTTTGGAATGAGTGAAATTAATATTCCAATGCGACAAAAGGGAACATAGGAAAGAACGACAAAAGGGAACATAAGGAAAACATTTCGACATTGGGAATCAGACATTTGTGGACATAACATTTAGGAAAAACTATACATAATAAAGAAATAAAGTAACTGAAAGCATTTCAGAAACTTCATCAACATCGCAAGTTCGTAGAGGACCCTCCAGGAAAGAAAAATCTTTGGGGAAATTATGTGCTCCCTTTCTTGAACGTGTATCTTTGGAAGCTGCACAGGGGCGTGATGTACACTTGGAAAGTGTTGCCAGAAGTATGAACGTTGAAAAGAGACGAATCTATGATATTGTAAGGAGAAAACTTCCCTTAAACAGTTGGATCTCCTTTAAAGATCCTTGGGGCTGGGAACATTGCATTTTGAGGGAGAATATTTTTGGAGGGGGTATTGTTTTAGATAGCTCCCCCCACCATTCAGTGGTGAGCTCCCCCCACCATTCAGTGGTGAGCTCCCCCCACCATTCAGTGGTGAACAGATTTAAGACATGTATCTCTTAAATTGGAGGGAGTGCCACCTTTAGACCACCTATTTTAGTGAGGTTCAACTACTACTTAACTCCAAAAAATCCCAAAAAAGTTTTGAAAAAATTTTAAAGGTAAACGTAATGGAAGCCTTAGAAGTTATGCAAAAAACAAACAAATCGTTCTATAAATGGCACGGACTTGATAGATTGCCTGAATTAATGTTTGCATTGCAAAGGGACGCCCAAAAAGGAGAATTACCAATAAAAATAGCAAAAGTAGAGAAGGCAATGTGTAGTTTTACAACAAATTTTAATCTCAATTTTAATGAAGAAAAAATAAAATTGAAAGAGGAGAAGCACTCAACAGAAGAATTGCCGGAAGAGGAGGAGGAAGATTCTGCTTTTGGACCTTTAACAAGTAGAGATAGATGTGGAAAGAATTCTTTGGCTCAGTTGTGTAGAAGATTTTTGATGGTGTTGCTTTGTAATCCAAATAGAGCTGTTAGTCTGGATGTTGTTAGGTAAGTAAAAAGCTAAAATAAATTTTTAAAATAGTCAGAAAATAAATTTTAATAGTAGGATACCCCTTTGGGGTCGAAAAGAGTAGTGATTTTTGATCTTTATTGGACCATAATTTTTTGTAGGATGTTTTGATTAATTCAAACCTGTTAGCTAAAATAATCCTCAAATCAAGGGCTTTCGATTCATACAATAATTATTTAAAATGGCTAAGAATCAAAAAAGTTATGGCCCAAAATATGCCTCGAGTCTGTATTTTTACAATTTATTTTTTAGCACAATGTTAATCAAAGATTTGGATTCTGAAGGTTACGAACCTCCTTCACGTTCAAGATGTCGACGTCTATACGACATTGGTAAATTTTTAATTAAATTGTTTAAAATTATTAATTTTAAAAATTTAAAGCGAACGTTCTGGCAATGATGAGTTTAGTTGAGAAGAAACATCATTTGTTTGGAACAAAGAAGATTCCACTCTTTGTGTATTGCGGACCTGAACCTGATGGTTTGTTTTATTATTTAAAATTTTTTGAAATAAAAATATAAATTTTTAAATTCAATTTAAAGGAAAAAATAGGAGAAATTAAAAAGGAAGGAACCAATCGGGTTCGAACCCAGGCAGTTAAGTTTAGTAATCGAGACCCTTAACCATTCGGCCACGATGTATGCATACTAAATCTCAATTTTAGAGGTATATTTTGGCGGAAATTTAAAGTTTTAATTAATTTCCAAAGAGATGGCACGCAAAAAAATCCTTCCTCCCATTTTATAAAATTGAATTTAAAAAAAAATATTTCAATTTTAGCAGAACCTACCAACTCAGCATTGCGCATGAGTGAATTCCTTTCTCGAGCTCGTACAAGAATAGCTGTTGTTTCAAGTGTTTCTTCTTCTTCAATTCCTTCTTCCACATCTCATCCTTCCATCACTCATCCACCAATTCCTTCTCCAGATGTTGTTGGAACTTCAAATTCCCCCAAATATTTTAAAGAAGAGTTTAATGAGGAGAATAAAAAGAACAAAAAAATAATAAAAAAGATGAAAATTGAACAAGAAAGCAACAACAACAACAACACTTGTTCAATCCCAACACTAACATCTCCTTCAAGTGAAGACATTGGAATTAAAAATTCCGTAAAACGTCGCAAAATGAATCGAGTAACTTGTCAACAACAGGAAGAGGAACACAGCGAAAACGATGAAAATTTTGTTTTGCCAAAACCGCGTCCTTTACGTCCACAACAATTAAATAATGTTTATTCTCTTCCTCAACCACAACAACAAATATTTTTGTTGCCTTCAAGTTTTCCTTCTTCTTCCTCTCAACAAACATTTTATTGTTGGCCAATACAACAACAACAACCTCACCAAACATTACAAAATCAAACCCATATATTTACAACACCAACAGAATTATTTTTAAACAATAATTCTCCCTCTCCTTTAAATTACTCATTAATACCACTACAACAACAACAGCAAACACAACAACAAACACAAAAACATTCGCAAAACATTAACAAATCTCCACCCAAAAATCCAATAAATGTGCGACATTCTGTTCAGTCAATTTTGGGTTATACTATTCAAAATCTGAACGGTAATTCTTTAAAACTTACAAAAGAAATTAAGACTATTTTTTATAGGAAATAATTCTGGTCAACAACAACAACAAATAGCCCCTCTTTCCTCATCCATATCCTCATCCCCTAGAGCATTTAGACCTTTACACAACAAAAACAACAAGTAATAAAAGGAAGGGAATAGTGAAGATTTAAAGAAATATTGAGAGTAGAGTGATTATTAAACAAAGGCAAATCAACACAAAATCAAGACTCTCAAAAAAACTCCTCAGACACGGTGCTTAATTTTTATATTCAATAATTTGTATAATTTTTTAAGGCTATCCGCATTTTCTAAAAATTAATTAAAATTTTCTAAAAAATTAATTGATAAGAGGTCCTAAAATTAATCCTAAAATTGATTTTTTGGAGTTCGAAGACGCTTAACAAAAAATATTTATTCGATTTGCGGGTAGCCCTAACTCCGACACTCATTTTCTTTCTTGACTTACAAACACACAGACCCACACTAAAAAATTTTTTTATTTTCTGCTAATTTATTTTTCTCTAATTTTATAAATTACCAGTATTTCACATTCTACATTTTTTTAAAATTAGAAAAAAAATTTTTTATGGAAATATTTTTGTGTAAATTATTGTGGTGTGTTCACGCATTCCGTGTGTTAACTTGAAAAAAATTTTGTTCCAGAATTATTTAAAATTTTATTTTACCGTTTCCATATCCAATCTAGCCTCCAAATGATGCCCATCAATTAAGGACCATTCTCTAACCAAGTCGTGAACTGGCAAATCACGCGAAAAACTGATTCTGCCAATATCCACCAATTTGAAACGAATACGAAAGTTGGAGACTGGGCCTTCTTCGACTGTTACAAAGCCTTTAAAAATTTTTTTAAGGTTAAAAAATTTTTTGAAAATTTTCTTGAAAATTTCTTCTCACCATTATTCATAACAGTAGTTAGGGCTACACGCGTACCACCAGAATAAACAGTTATGTAACCATTTTCACTGTGTAATTCGTCTCTGTCATGAGCTGACCAAGCAAAGGCACTATTAAAAAAATGATTTTTAACTAAGAAAAAATTTCCAAAATTTTTACGTGTAATTAAAAGCTGGTTCAGCATGCAATTTTGGATTTGTTAGGCTTATAGAAATTTCTTCACCATAAGTAAATTTTGGAATTGTGGGGAACATCTTTAAAAATATTTTTTAAAGTACAAATACATGGGGTACAAATACACAATAAACCCTCCTATATTGAGGGTTTATTTTCTCAAAATAATTTCTTAAAAAAATTTTTTTATAATTTTTTACCGCCTTTCCATCATGTTCTGAACGCCAAACACCCAAAAGCCTAGAAGAAAATTTTTTTGAAAGTCTTTAAAAATTTAAATATACCAAGAAATTGGTTTAAGTGAATCCGGAGCTAGAAAACCATCATAATCTTTAACAAAAAATAGAAAAATTTAAAAAATTTTTAAATTAAAAAAATGACCTCTAGCATTTCGAGAATCAATTAAGGGAATAATTGTAAAAAATAATAAGGTATGGACAACACATTGAAAATTTAAAAATAAATGTTGAAAATAATGTTGTCCTCCAAACATTTGGAAAAGTAAAATATAAATCGGTGGTGTGAAGCCTGAAAAAAAATTTTTTTAATTTTTGTTAAAAATTTTTTTAATCAAACAACCAAATAATAGGTAAAATAAATATTAATTTTATTTTTTTTCTAGGTTAGTTTTCCCCCAACTATTTTTTTTTTCAAAAAAATATTTTTAGTGAAATATTGCTTCTACTAAAAAGGTGAGAGGAGGCTTTTTTAATTAACGCCTTTAAAGCCCATTTATTATTTTTAAAACTGAAACCAATATAAAATTTTTTTAGTTTCTATTATTACTATTTTTAGTTGAAACATAAAAATAGTAAAAATCTTTTTTATGAACCTGACTCATTTTATATTAAAAATATTTAAAAATAATCAAAACAATTGTTGTCCCACCGCTTACCCAAACTAAAATTTAATTAGCTATTGTTCCTCCCCTTCGCTTACCTATACGTTTAAAAAAAGAGAAAAAAGAAAATTTTATATTAGAGGTCGTTCGGTTCGATTGCGCACAAAAATTTCATTTTTTTGCAAGAAAAAGGTAAATTGGTGGAACCGGCTAGAGAAAGGGGAATTTTTGTTGAGTGACGAGAGCAAGGCCAATATAAAAAATTTATAAAATTTTTAGAGAAAAGGAGAGGACATTAAAATATACAAAAATGTTTCTAAAAAGAGAAAAAAAAATTAAATAGAAAATTGGGGTAGTTTTTAATTTTTTACTTAAAAAATCCCAAAATTAATATAAATTTTCAAAGTTATTTAAAAAAATCAAAAACAGACGTATTTTTTGCCCGTTTCCTTTGTTTTTCCATTTTCTTATTGTTTTTGTTGTTGTTTTGCTTGGCAATAATAATTAAACAATAAAAATCGGCAGCAAAATTAAATACAAATTGAAGCAAAAAAATTTTTTGTTGATGTTCATTGTTGTTGTTTGTTGTTGTTGTTTATTTGCTAATTAAAATATAATTTGTTGTTTTTGTTTTTATATTAGCGTTCTTATTGCGCAAAAATAGGTAATGAGAGGAACTGAAAAAGAAATAAAAATTTGTAAATTTTATAAAATTAACTTCAGCAGGGATAAGGCCATTTAAAAAAGGCAACATGGGGCGCTGAGTCGCGCTAAGTCGAAAAGGTGAATTCGAAATTCTAAGGAAAATTTTATAAACTGGAGGAGGAAGGAGGGCTAACTTTTTCTAATCATAAATCCAATTCAGAATTATTTTTTTTTCCAATCCTTTTTTTATCTTTTCAAAAACCAATCCTTACACTCTTTGCCGATTTTCTCTCAAAAAAAATAATAAAATCTTTTTTTAGCCAAAATTTATGTGTTTTTATTGTTGTTGTCCGTCTTGGTCTTGTTGTTCTCCCTTTATTTTTATTCTTCTTCTTTGGCGGCAAAATACGACCTTCCTCTTCTTAGTCAAATGAAAATAACGACACATTTAAAAAAAACCACATTTTTTCTGATCTGCCCATTATTTTCAAAAAAAAATGTGGAAGAAAAAATCCCTTCAACCTCCTCCTTCCCTCTCACTCATTTTTAAAACCAGACAAAAATATTCTAAAAACAATTCACCAAAAATCCTCAAAAAATCCCCACCTAAATTCATTTATTAAAATTTTCAGTCGTTTACCCTGTAGTCCCGAGCCGTTTGAGAAAGACTATAAAACGTTACTTAAAACCAAACGGAACTCGAGATGGGGAAGACGATTGAAAAAAATTAAAATTGAAAACTCCTTTTGCGTAATGATCTCGAGAGTTTGCTATAACATTTGGGTACTTTTTTGTTTGTAATCCAATATCCAATACCTAATCCAAATCCACAAAGAAAAAAATCAAAAGATCCAACAACAAAAAAATTTCCAGAAAATCAAAGAACTTATTTTCTCTTTTTTTGTTCTCGTATTAATTTTTATTCATTAAATTATTAATAAAATTAAAAAAAAAGCTTTCTAAACTAGTTTTTCTCAGATACAAGGCTATAAAAAAAGGGAGAAAATATATAACTAAAGATATAACCACACAAAAAACATTTTTCTTATGTAAATATCCCTCCAAAAAATATACTAAATGCGCGCAAAAATTATCATCTTTTTTCAATTTATATCCATTTTTGTAAAAATTTTATTGATTTTATTTTTATCCCAATTTCCCTTTTACAATTGTGAATTTAATCCCGATTTTAGAGCTTTTGTTCATAACAGGTGAGAGAAATTTTTAAAAAAATTTAAAAAAAAATTTCTCAAAAATTTTTCTACAAAATAAGATATGGACTACCAATAGTAAATCAACTAGAAAGAAGAGATTTGGGTAATGATGCAAGTACAGGTGGAGGCCCCGTAGGAAATGAGGAGGCTGTTGTTATTGTTCATGGAATTACAAATAAAATTACACGATTTAATGTAAAAGAAATTTTCAGAAAAATTCAGAAAAATTTTCTAAAAAGGGAATAATCGAAAAACTTCGTTCTCAAGGTTTTCAAGTTTTTGGGACTACTTGGGGTGATGGAGGGACTACGCCCGTTGGTTTGGTAGAACTTAGATGTGCTTATGTTAAACAAATAAGGTAGAACTTAAAAGAAAAATTTTTTAATAGAAAAATAAAAATATAAAAAAAATTCTAAAAATTGAAATTCTAAAAATTCTAATTAAAAATTCTAAGCATAAAAATACTATAAAAAATCTAACCTAAAAAATCCAAAAATTTCAACTTTAAAAAATCCCCAAAAATTTTTTTAATTTTACAGAAGCATGTTAATCGCCGTACGTGAATATACAAACAAAAAAGTGGATGTTATAGCATACTCGATGGGATCGCCGATAGCCAGAAAAGTACATAGAGATCGGACTGAGAGGGTCGTACGAAAATTGACACTTCGAAAAAATCTTGATCCTCGAAATTTGATTAATTGAGAGCCCGTCTCGGTCCAATCTCTATTAAAATATTAAAAATATAAACCCACCAAAAAACATTTGTTTCAGGCAATCCTTGGCGGAACTTGTGTTGACACACGCGAATTATTAGGCCCTCCACTCACTGAACATGTTGATACATTTTTAAGCGTTGCTGGAACAAATAATGGAGCATTGCCTTGCCTTGTACCAATTCCTGTTGGAACATGTAATAAAAAGAATGGTCTACATTGTGAATCTGAATTTCTATCTGATATAAATAAATTAAAAGGTTATGAAGGAACAAATATTTTTAGTATATTTTCTACATCTGATGAAAAGGTGGGTTTTTAATTTTTTGGTACTTATTAATATCCCAATCCCTATCTAAGTCTAAAAGTCCAGCCAACTCCCCTTTGTGCTTGATAAATTTTTGACAATAGAACAAAGATTCATCTTAGACTAAAATAGGAAGAGGGGTGGAAATAAAAAAAATTTTTAATCATAGAAATTTCTTAAGATTGGTCTCAAAATGTGTTCCCGTCTAGTTTCACCAATTATTGGAGAAACTGGTTTTGTACGTAAAGAAGGATTAACACATGATCAAGTTATGGACAATACAATAGATACACAAATAAATTTTATTTTTAAACATAGACCAAGATAGATTTTTTTTTAACGAAACATAAACGAATATTTGAACAAAAAACACCTGAATTTTATAATTTTATATATAAAAAATATGTATAAAATATATAATTAACATTTTTGTATTTAAAAATACTTTTTTAATAATAAAAAATTGCGCTTTTTGAGGGGAGAAAAAATAAATAATAAAATATAAAAAATATTAAATAAATAAAATTTAGAATGTTAGTGGCAAATTAAGAGAGAGAGAGAAGGAGAGAGAGAGAAAAGGATTAAAAAACACCGAAAATAAAATTTAAAAAAAATTAAATAAATTAAAATACTAGATACACAAAGAGTTGAGCTTTAGATACAACAGAGAGAAAAATTTTTTTTTTAATTGTTTGATAAAAATTGAAAAAAAATATTTAAAAGACAAAATTTTGTAGAGAAAAAAAGTAGAGAGAGAAAAAAAGTTAAAAATTTGAAAATTTTAAAAGTTGAAAAAATATGCACTAGAGGATTTTAGAAAGGCATATGAAATTTAAAATAATATAAGCAAAGAAAAAAAACAGAAATCAGAAAAAAGAAAAAAAGATCAGAACAATAAAAAAATAACAGAAAAAATTAATAAAATTTTTGAGTAGCTGTGGCTTTTAATTATTAAGTGAATATTTTTGGTTAAAAAATAAAAATACATATACAAATTATGATCACATAAAAGATAAATATATGAGGCGTTTATAAGAGACAAAGGACAAACACAACAAACGATTAAAATTTTTAAAAATAAATTTTAAATAAAATTAGTACAGTCGGACCTCACTTATGTGGGAGAAATCAAAAGTAGAGGAAGCAAGAGTTAACTAATCGTCGCCGCAGGCAAGGATTAACCGACAAATAGAAAGAACAAGTAAGGAAGAAAAGGCCTAATCCAAAATGTCAACGGTTTAATGCTGCTCTCCTTTCCAGTGATCTTTTGGACACTACAGGAAGGGAGGAAAACGTCAACGCTCAATTGCTGCTTTCCTTCCCGGTGACATTTTGGGTTGGTCGATTTTTTCGAGTCAAGGACGTAACCATAAGTGAGTTCCGATAGTATTCAATAAAATTGTGTAGGTAGAATCCCTTCACCAAATTTTTTAAAAATACAAACTTACCCCCATTGTAGCACCAAAAAACATCATGGAGGAAACACAGTCCCACTAAATGAAGCAGAATTATCTTCAAGTAAATGTTCAACAAATTCAGTATAATCTTGACGAGTTGCAAAACGACGACCAAATTCAGCAATAGCTTGTTTTCTTTTTAGATGAGTCATTTGATAACTTTAAAATTTGAAAAATATTATTTTAAATTAAAACCCGATTCGTTCCACTGAACAAAACCCCGACTCGTCCCACCGAATAGAAATCCCCAATTCATCCCAACCTCACTCCGTCCCACATTAAAAAAATTTTCTTTACTTGTCAATTTCAGCAGCTTTCCTCCTTGCTACATTACATATTGTTTGTTTTAATAATAAAGGTAATGATCTAGTAGAGACAACAGTTCCATTATGTAAAGGTCCAGGACGTCCTTGTTTAGTCCAAATACCAGTAATTTGTATTCTTCTTAATCCTCTCTCAAATGGGTAAATATAAAAAACTAAATGGTCTATTGTTTGTTGTTGTTGTATTTGGATATTCGAATTTAAAGTTGTTGTTGATGTTGTAGAATGTTTAAGGGTGTTTATATCATTTGTTGTGAATGGAAACATTTCAGCTTAAAAACCAAAGGTAAAATGGCTCTAATTTAGTTTATGAATCCAATGAAGCTTCTAAGTTTAAAATGTAGGAGCCCAAAAAAAGTTTTCGAGTCCACATTATGAGCTAATGGAGGTTTGTCTTTATGGATATCAGATTTGGAGGGGTAAAACTTTGGACTCAACAACTTTTGCCTATGGTTCATTGGACGCATAAACTAGACCAGAGCCAGGAATTTATTCAACTAATTAAAATTAAAACCAAACCAATTGGAAAGGTTGACAAATCTTCTAATCTTTCTAACCAAACAATAAAAATCCTCAAATCAGCAGAACGCTTTGACCATTTTTGTAAGTTTGTCGTTGCTTTTTGCTGTTGTAAATGTTCAATATTTGTTGTAGCTGTTGTATTAGATGAATTAACGGTGGATGATTCATTTCCAGCTGAAGCAGAACTTAGTGTTCGATTATTAGATTGAATCCTGGTAAAAGACGTTCTGTTAAATTTTTAACACTAAAAAAATTTTTTACGAGGAGGCTTGTGGTGGTGGATATGTAGGCGTAGATGACAATACAAGTCCTCCTCCTGTATCTTTAATTCTAGAAGGGTTGCCGTTGGAAGAAGCGAATGATTCTAAATTTTTTTTAAATTCAGACTAAAAAATATTTAGCTTAAAAATTAAAAAACAAGACACAAGACAAGACTACAAAAAATATTGTTAGTGTCAGTTAATAAAGCAAAAAACAAGCAAGCACTAGTTACATACAAATAAGCGTGCAAAAAAAAAAACAAACAAGTGGCAATAATAAAAAAATCTTCCTTCCCCAGTATAATAAAATTTTGATTTTTAAATTTTTTTTAAAGATTTACTTAACAAAAAAATTTTTTAAACAAACCCCTCGTTACATCCTTCTCCACCAATTTATCATTTTTTATAATTCCTTCCCTTTCCCCTCTCCCAACATCAACACTCATCTTTTTCTTTTCATTTTCTTCCTCTTCCCTCAAATCTTCCAATTCTTCATCAATAACTTTTGCAAGTGAAGATTTTCTTCTTCCACATTCTGAAGAAGCTTGTGAATTTTGTGATGTTGTTACTTTACTTGTTCTTCGAAAAAATAGAGATTTTATATAAGAAAATGTTGATGTTGTTGTTGATGTTGAAGCTATAGAATCATTACGTTCTAATGGTGGTTTAATTAATGTTGGTATTTGTTGTTTGCTTGAAGTTGGGGACGACGACTTTTTATCACTATAAATTTTTTTCAAAATTTTTTCGAATTTTTTTTAATTATGATAAACGAAGTATGTAACTTTACCTAGCAAAATAATTATTAGATGAAGTAGATGTTGATGCTACCGAGGATGTCTCCAGATGACTAAAATTATTAGCACTATCATTATTTGAATCAACTGGAGACATATTTGTAGGAGTATGTGTTGTAGACGAGCCAGCTGTTGCTGTAGTAGAAGCCTTATCAGAAAATGTAACGTCTTCAACACGCAAATTCCCAAGCAGAATTTCTCTAAAAACTGTAGAAGTTCGACGTCCATGAGACATTGGTGGTGGACTTGCTGGAGGACTACTATGAATGTTGTTAATGTCTCTAAGATCAATCTTTCCCAAATTGTAACGTCGATGTCTAGCACTTTGAATACTTGTTCGCCTTTGAGCTGTAACAGCATGTTTTCTAACATGAATAGAAGCTGCAGAATTGCTAGAAGAAGCACGTATGCGTTGTTCAACGCCCATTATTTCCTCATCCTCTGCCTAAAAAAGTCAAGGAGGAATTTCATATGGAAATCTTTCAAACCTTAATCATTGCAATGTTTTTGCAACACAAACTTCCACCACTTTCAGCTGATCCTTTTGATGAATTATGAGCCGAAATTAAAGAAAGTCGTCGTTGTTTTTCCAAACTAAGAGGTTTACTTGTTGAAAAACGAGCAGAACGAATAGGTAAAGGTGTTGCTGCTGGCGTTGATGAAGCCGCTATAGATGTTGGAGCAACCTCTTCCTCCTCCTTTTCATCTAAACTATCATCAATTTGTTGATTTTCTGTTCCAGAAATAATCAAATCTCTTTCCATTGCATTAATTTCATCTATACTTTGTGCCCAAATAAGCATTGCACGCTTTTTAAAAAATTCGTATTCATCGCCCAAAAGGGTCGAATAATATTTTTCATCTTTCTTGATTTCTTCTTTTTCAGCAAAGTTATTGTTATCCAAGATATTGTTGTTTATTAAAGATTGTTTATTGTAATAATATTCATTAATATTTTTAATATTCATGTCATTAGTATAAGATAGTTTATCTATACAATATTCCCCCATAATATTATTAGTATTATTATTTGTGTTAATATTGTTATTAGCATTTATGCCTAAATATAAGCGTATTTTAGTTTTTAAAGAAATGTTCCAGGAAAGAAAGAAAATTCTGAACAAATTATAAAAAGCCCATCCCTGAGGTTGTTTACTCGAAAAAAGAAAATAGAAATATGAAGCAAAGAGTGCATTGAGGTTGGCAGATCCGAATCCAAAAAAAGACCGGATATCCGATGATTTCACAGAATCCGCCAACCATACATTAGTGTAAAAAGCAAAATCAGTGAAAGTGCAGAAAAAACAAAACAAAAAACGAAACAAAAAAGTGCAAAAAAAACAAATAAATTTAAATTCAAAAAACCCACTAAATTGTTGTTGAACACTATCAATAGAAGAAGGTCGTAAAGTTGCTGTTCGTCGAACACTTGATGCTGCTTTTGATGATCCATTTCCTCCATTTGCTGTTGAAGCATTTGTTGTTATTGTTCGTCCAGTTGGTGTTACAAAAGAAATATCAACATGGTCATCTTTCCAATTCAAGCAATAGTCAATACCATCAAAAACAAAATTTTCAGCAAAAGAGGGTTCTTGTTTCTTTTCGTTTTTATTTGTTGATGTATTTGTTGAAAATGTGCCTCCATCTAAGAAAAAAATATTTACTTAATAATTACATAAATGCTCTAGTATAAGCCAGTCCTTTAGCCCACCCGAAGAGATTCATCTAAAAACAAATTCCACCCATGAGACCTATGTAGAAGGAGACCATCCATCAAAACCCCCACCCAAGGAGCCAAATTGTAAAGTATACAAGCCTAGTTTCTAAGGAAAGCCCAAGTCTTATTTAAAGCATTTACGGAATATTTAAATATTTACTTTTATGAATTTTTTCTCTCATTTCCAAAGCTCTTCCCAATTCACTTAATAATCGACAATATTCTGCACTTGTTTGCCTTAGATCAATCTAAAAATGAATTTTTTACATTTCAAAAAGTAATTTAAAAAAACTTGTACATTATTTTGTAAAATATCTTCAATACACTTTTGTCCTTCTTTAACATAAAATATTGAAACAGTTTCAGTTAAATGAACAGGATGTTGATCTACAGTTGTATAAAGAGAATCGTAGAAAATGTCACTGAAAAAATGAAAGATTTATAAATACACTCACTCAGACCTCGGTATAACATACCGCCATGGGGGTGAAAAAATCAACTGAAAACAGTATCTACTATAATTCTTAGGGTAACTCATAGCAATACGGATGTCATAGGTTGAGAAAAGTAAGGTCGGGTCAAAAAAGTCCAGTGTTCGAGTACCCCGCGACATAACTGCCAGGCAGCTTCCTCTCCCAAACGGTCAATCAAATTTAAAAATTATTTCAATCTAACATGAAAAGTTTCTAATAATTATGGAGGTATCTTACATATAGGTGAGGTCCAAGATTTTAATTAAAAAAAACAAACTATGATGAGCTATCCAAAGGTGTCAATTCATTAAGATAAGATGTTCGATTGATCAATCCCAAATCATAAAGAAAAACACGAAGAGAATTGCAATGAGAAACAGGACTGAAAAAATTTTTTAAATTTTTAGTTCAAAAAATTTCAAAAAAGAAACCTTTCAGGTACAGGAGGTTTTGTAAGTAAAGGACCCAAAGAATTATTAATCCAAACATTTCTAGTATCTCGATCACCAATAGGAGCCCCATTGCCAGCAGCTAAACGAGCTTGGACTTGTTCAAGTTGTGATTGTATTGCCAAAACTTGTGGTGGAACAGGCTCTAATTTTGGGAATTTTTTGTCGCTATAAAAAGAAAATTTTGATTAAAAATTTATAAAAATGGAAAATTCTCAACTATTCACATTCTGGCTCAAACGCTTCTTTTGGTATTTTAAATTGTTTTGTTGCTGTTGTTGTTGTTGTAATATTTGGAGGAGGTGCTGAAGAAGAAACTCCACTACTTGTAGTTGAAGCAACACTACTTGTATTTGTAGCAGTATTTCCACCACCACCTCCATTACAATCCAAAATATTTTTTGTTTGTATACTTAAAAGGTCATTAGAAGGTTGTTGTTGTTCACTATCACGAATTTTACAGGTTTCGGAATTTGTTTGTGTTTGTTGTTTAATTAATTGTTGATGTTGTTGATGAATGACAACTACTAAATTTTAATTTATTTTCAAAAACAGAGAAAACAGAAAATCAGGTCAAGTCATATAAAAATGTTTAATTTTGTTTTCATCGTCTCCTATTTCAACGAAAGATAGGAGAAAACCCCTAATTTCAGCAATTTGGCTTCATTTTATAATTCAGGTCAACCAACAAAATTTGTCAGGTCAACCCTCAACAAAAACTCAAAGAAAAAATAAACTAACCATCAAGGGCGTATCCAGGGGGGGGCTGGGGGGGGCTAGAGCCCCCCCCCCCGAAATGGGGGAAAGGGGGAAAAAATTGGGAGAAGGATGGTCGAAAAAGTGAAATTTTTTCGCCTACAACCTTTAAATTTTAAAAAATTTTCGCCTGCGGCGCAAAAAGTGGAAGAAATCTGGCCTCTTGAGCTCCAAAATCCTCAAAATTTTCGCCTGCGGCGCTAAAAAGGAAGAAATCTGACTTCTTGGGCTCTAAATTCCAAAAAATTTTCGCCTGCGGCGCAAAAAAAGTGAATTTTTTTGGCCTACGGCCTTCCAAAATTCAAAAAATTTTTGCCTGCGGCGCTGAAGTGATGAAAATTTATGTACAAAAAATTTGCGTCCGGAACGCCAAGGTAAACGCCAAAAATTTTTGCGCCCACCCAGTGTTAGCCCCCCCCCGAAACCGACCCCCTGGATACGCCCTTGCTAACCATTATTATTCTGCTTACAAATCTTCTTTCGGTTAGGAGGCGCTTTCGGCAATAGTCTAAACAAACTTGCCCATGGAGCATTAAACGGTGTACGAAATATAGCAATTACACAAGGAAGACCTAAAAAATATATAAAAAATAATTTAAGAAAATTTATAAAAAAAACCTTTTGATAAAGTTGGAATATTTTGTGCTTCATAAAGTGAAATTAAAACATTTTGTTGACGTAATAAAAAATGTTCAAATTTGTCCAGTTTTAATCCAAATTTTTTAATTAAAACCAATTCATTTATTGAAGATGAAGAAAATTTTTTTATTACAAAATTTGAAGTTGATGTTGTTGGAATTTTTGTAGAAAATAAGGAATGTAATAAAGATTGTGCTGCATCATGAACACGTTGACTTGCTGGTTTGTATTGTTCTGGAGTCTTGAAAAAAAATATTTAAAAAAATTTAAATTTTAATACCCTCACTAAAAAAAATTCTCCCTTTCCTCCCTATAATCTTTGCCATAGGCAAGGATTAACCGGTCGCAAATGAACAGAGGAAACTAGAAGAAAAGAAGAGTGGACGCAATCCAAAATGTCAACACTGAAATGCTGTTTTCCTTCCTGTTGACATTTTGGACACCAAAAAAGAAAGAAAAGTTAATCCAGAATGTCAACACTGAAATGCTGTTTTCCTTTCTGTTGACATTTTGGACACCAGAAAGGAAGAGAAGATTTAATGCAAATAAAACAATTCTTCTCTCTTCCCCATAGATCTTTGATTCTTCTCAAAAATATTCTACTGTTAGTCCTTAACTCTCTAATAGGACCCATTTGTAATTTACAAAAAAATAGTAAAAAAATTTACCAATTTATGCCCTCCCGTCATTCCCAACTCAATAGCCAATGCAACAGTATCCAAACATGATTCAATACGAGCAAGTTTAGGAGCCGAACAAAACCACACACTCATACAAAAATAAGCCGCAACAACAGTAGAATGCATATCCTTTGAATGAAGAGGTGGAGGTTTCTTAAGCTGTTGCTCAATAAAACGGCAAAGAGATGTTACAATTAAAGAACCGGTTGAAAGTTCACCTTTTATAAAATAAAAAATTAAAAAATGTTCCAAAAAATTGAAAAAACCTTTAGAAAATAAAACAGATTGTGGAAGAGAACAAAAAGAATTTAGACAATCAAATGCTGCTAAACAACAAAGTGTTTCATTTGCCCATAAAGGTTTACATAAATTATCACAAATTGCACTTATAAATGATCGAATAAGTGAAGTAGAAAATGGAGCTGAAAAAGCAAAAAAATTTTTTTTGATAAAATTACAGACACTACACTAGAAAATACCACCAAGAATTAGATACTCCCATACAATACGTTTTTAAAATTATGATTTTGGTCGCTGTATGGAAGGTCTGCCAACAGGGATGAGTCGGGTTGAGAAAAAATTTGTGTTGAATTTCGGATCGGGTTCTCAAAAATTCGTGCCGTCGGATTCGTGCCAAAAAATACCAGAAATTTCAGGTATCGGGTTCTCCCTGATAGGGACTGCCCAAGTAAAAAAACAAACCTTCAATAGTTTCTTTACAAGTTTCAGTTTCATCATTCCTTTCTTTGTTGTTTTCATTCTTCCAAACTTTCAACATTGCTGCTCTCTTCAATTCCGGTTCGGCTACCTCAACACAAAAAATAGCTGCAAGTCCAAGCGCATATTGAATATTGAAAGGATCAGTTTCTTGTCGAAGAGAGCAATAAAGCACACGTTGAATAGGTTCACGAATATCAATATAACGAGAAAATGATTCCAATAAATTTGATGATGAAGATGAAGAAAATGAACCTTCTTGACGTTTATTAATTTTTTGTGAAGAAGAATTAATGGAAGATGAAGAATTTTGATTGTTGTTACCTTTAAAAAGAGGTGAATAAAAATAAGAGTAAGAGAGAGGTAAAAGTTCTGCGTCCTCCTGGCAGTTATTGCAAAGAGCTTTTACCATATAAAAGTGAGTAAATGATCTCGTGACTCAGGAAACTGATGAAATTAATTAACTATAGGGCGTAAAGGTGCTACAAATGGTTGACATGAGCCATAGGGGCTTTAACTTCTCACCTTAATAAATCTCTTAAACCCCTGCCTAACTAGCGATTTTAAAATGACAGCGAGCTGAGTATCTTCTTCCAAAACAAAAAAAAAGCAATAAAAATAAATACCAAGAATATTAGCATAACCAAATAATGAAGGCCAAGGTAGTATTGAAGCAAGGGCTCTTAAACAAGCTGCACGCATTTCTATTTGACTTATAGAAGGATGAAGTCTTAAAAAAATAAAAAAAATTTCTCTTAATTAAAAAATAAATTTACAAAATTTGAAGTGATTCATTATGTACAAGCTCTATTGCACGCAAATAATTTGGTAATAAAATTTGAACACCTTTCAATGCCAATTTAAAAAGATTGTCGGCACTAGAGAAGATAAAAGAACTGAGAAGAATTCTGTCATTCTGTTTGGAATTTAAAAAAAATTTTTTAAATGTACATATAAGAGTTAGGCAAAGTTTAGTCCCCGCGCAGGAATCGAGTTTGCGACCTCATAGACATTTGGATCGAGTTTGTGACTTCATGAACGTAGGCAACTCGTGTACAAGCAAGCTCAGGATTAAGTTACCGGGCCGATAACACCTCTTATAAATCCTGAATCCGTAAGCGTGTCTTTAATTGCTAATCCTTTCCCTTCCTTAAATCTTCCCTTATCCTTCCGCAAAAAAATTTTTAACCGAAATTAAAGCTTCATGTGCCAATGCAAAGAACCTAGCCAATTGATCATCTCTTAATTGTTCATTTGTATGTTTTGAACAAACAATTCTACAAAGTGCACAAAGGGCTGCTGACCTTCCAGAAGATATTCCATCAATACTTGGAAATTCTGTTGGGGAAGAATAATTTGTTGTTGCTGCTGCTATAGGTTGTTGTTGATGATAAGAATCCCCTCCACCACTACTACTTAACATACTACTACTTTGAGTGTTGGAAGAACGAGATATTGATGTTGCTTAAAAAAAATTTTTTTTAAATCAGAAAATTGACATTTTGGGCATGTGACGTTTTGAATTTTTGACATTTTGTAAAATTACCAAACTGACATTTTAAAAAAATTTCCACGTTTTTTAAAAAAATTTTTCTTACCAAAAGAACGTCTAAGTGTTGTTGTCGTTGTTATTGTTGTATTATTATTATTATTAATTCCACCACTATTAGAGATTATTTGCTGCTGTTGTTGGTGTTGAAAATATGCTGGTATTGGTGCTGATTGTCGTTTAGAAAAATTATTGGTTGAAACGTTATTACTCTTATTGCTACCAGTGCTGCTAGTGGTAGTAGTACAGCTATCGCCTACTGAAGACAAGGATTTGTTTGAAGCTGGAGGATGGAGAAGAGGTTGAGGAGGAAGAGGAGGAGGGACGACGACAAGTGCTTGGCCACAATCTGAACAAACAAAAAAATTTAAAAAAATATTAAATATAAATGACTGAAGATAAAGGATATTATTAAATATTATATCTCCAAATTTTTATATAAAATCGAGTGCAAAAAATAAAAGAAAAAAGTGTCAAGTGATTGATTATAAAATGACAAATTATAATTGGAAAAAAATAAAGATTAGTGTAGGGATTTAAGTAAGAAAAAAAACACTCTTTAAAGCTTGAGATAGGTATGAGGCTAATTGCTAAAGATTGTGTTAAGATTGGTACAGCTTGATAACAGCTTAAGAAAAAAATAAGCAAAGAAAAAACTCACAAAAAAATTAAAAGGGAAGAAAGAATAGAAGATGTTGTTGTTCAAAAATAAAAAATGTATACGAATATATTCAGAAAATTATTTTTAAAATTTTAATAGAAATTTTTATTGACTTGAAAAAAAATCCACGTTTAATATTTTTATTTGACAGCGCCCCGCCGCCATTTTTATTTTATTTCATAAAATCTCACACTATCTCCCTCCCCACCTCAACAAAATCTTTTCCCCTCACCTCAATTTTTGTTGTAAAACTATCCCAAAAAGAGAGTAATAACCTGTACAAATAGGAAAGGAAAAAGGGAGAAAATGAGGAAAAATGAGTGAATGGAGGTGAATGATATCTCTCAACAAGCATTCGCGCATTTTGAAAAATAAATAAAAAATAGAATGGAAAATAAAAATGGATATGTGTACTTATAGAGGTACTTTTGGAATACAAAAATTTTTTAGGAATATTTCCAAAAATAAAAATCCAAAAAAATATAAAAATAGTTGGTGTTACGACAATTGCGGATACGCACGTGCGGATGCGACAATTGCGGATTAAATTTTTTTTTTAATTTTAAAAATGATTGAAATGATGTTCTGTTTTTTAGTCCCGGCTGCCAGTTTCCGACTTCTGACGGTTTCCGAATCATTTTTAGACTAATGTGGCACTTAAAACTTTAAAAAATCTTAAACTTTTTAAAAATTTTATATCCGCAATCGTCGCATCCGCACGTGCGTATCCGCAATTGTCGTACCGCCAAATAGTTCATTCTATATTAGCTGTGTGGCAAAATAATTTTTTCGATTAGAAAAAAGACCCAAAATTTTTTTTAAAAAGAGGAAACCACAACAAAAAACGTAAAAACCTTTTTCTCCTTTCCCCTATTTTCTCCTCTTTTTTCCTTCCGTTTTTCGTGTTCAATAAAAAAATTTTGTGAGCACGCGCGAATGATTTTAGTATGATATTAAAAAGAGGAGGAATTAAAGAGGAGGAAGTATAGACAGAAACAACACATAAAAGCAACAACAACAACACGTTTACGGAGCATAAATCAGAAAGGGGAAAAAATAATAAATATTTTTTACGAGAAGGATCAGGCGTGTAATAAAGGAGGAAAAAAGAGGAAGAAAATGAGGAGACAAAATAAATAAATAATAAAGTACAAAACAAACAAAAACGAAAAAAAATTGCGCAACTAATAATATCCTAATAATTTTGTTAAGAATTTTAAAAAATAAAAATAATCGTAAAATAACCTAGCAAATAAAAAAATGATCAAAAAATACTAATAAAAGGCTTATCAAAATTTAAAAATAGAAAAGAGAGAAAAAAGAGAAAAAAACTTTTTTGAGCAAGTAAGAGATGTAGACTAATAATAAAAAATACCGACAAAGCTTTTTTTGAATTTTTTTTTTGCTAAAATTTGGCTAGCCTTCCCAACCCTATTATCTGTCTAAATTTATGAATATTTTTTATATTTACTTAAAAATTAAAAGTGAACAAACACAAAATTATTTTTAAATACTTAAAAATGTTTGTCAGCATTTATGAAAAATGGGGTTGTTACGAGAAAAAAGAGAGAAGAGAAGAAGAGGGAGATTTATTGCCTAACCAAGAAAAAAATTTTTTTAATAAAAAAAATAAATTGTTTAGAGATAAGAAACATTATTCAAAAATTTCCCAAATTTTAAAAATAAAATTAAAAAAAAACTAACCTCCTTTACCCGCCCCATCATTAATTAAAGTATTATTAATTTGAAAAATAGCTGCATCAAATAGCCAATCCAAAAATAAATTTAACAGAGTAGTTGATGAAGGTTTTAATAATAATTTTGTTCTTTTAAAATTAATTAAAAGTTGTTTTTCATCAAAAATTAATTGATTATCTTTTTTAAAAATAAATTTTTAATTAGAAAAAAAATTACAAAAAAATACTTTTAAGAATAAACCAAACATGTTGTGAAGCTAAAACTTGTCCAGAAATTTGTATTGCTGTCATTTCTGTATTTGTATCTGCATTGTTATTATTTGAAGTTACAGTCATCATTTGATAATCAGAAGAAGTAAGTCTTTGTTCTTGCTAAAATAGAAAATTGGGAAGTTAAAAAAATTTTCTGATTTAAAAAAATCATAAAAAATCATATACGAACTCACAATCAGAAAAACATTGTCCAAAATTTCTGATTAATAAAAATCCAAAAAAATTCTGTTTTTCGAAAACCCCTTCTTCAAAAAAAATCATTTTTAAAATTCAAAAACAAACCTTTATATTACTCGCATTATTGACTAGAGCAGCTTCCAACCATAAAGAATGCAATTCTTCACTTTCATTAAAATCCAACAAAATATCATCTCCTTTAAAGAAAAGATTTTCTTTCAAAAAATATTTTTTATCTCGCTTACCAAAAAATAAATCAACCATTTTTTTCAATCCAAAAATAATCAAGAAAAATGAAAGTTTAATTTGTTCAACAAAAAAATTTATTGAAGTAGAAGAAAGTTGACAAGATTTTTCAGCCAACAAGGCAAGTGCTATAATAAAATTTAAAATAAATTTTTTTAAATTAAAAAAAACCTTGTCCAATAAATTTTGTTGGACGTCCAAGAAGTATAAATGAATTTAACCAAACATCTTTTAATGTTGAAATTCTTTCAGGATTTGAGATTAGTGTTGATGAAAATTGTCCAAATATATTGTCATCATCTTTATGTAAAAAAATAAGAATTAAACTTTTTAGTTAAAATATTCAAAGATATGGCCTAGATTTAACATGGATTTTGGATGAATTTAGGCTTAATCAAGCCTAAATCTAGGCTTGGACTAATTTTTGAATATCGGGGTTGGGGCTTACAAGAAAAAAAGAAAAACCCCTATAAACACAGAAAAAGAACACACAAGAACACAGAAAAAAACCAAGGCACGGGCCCGGATCCACCTCTACTTTAATAAACGCCTCGATAAAGCCCCTCCTTCGTTAAAAAATTTTCTTAAACAAACCAAAAACAACATTTTCTTCTTGTACTTCCATTTGTTGTTGTTGTCCAAATAAATGTTTAAGCAAAAGTGAAGTTGAATGAAGTATAGAATTTGCCCAACATTCAATAAATTGGATCTAGAATAAATTTAATTTTCAAAAAAATTCTACAAAAAAACCTGAGCTCCACATTTATTAGAAAGACAAGAAAATGTTGTCCAATATGCTGGTGAAGGGATACAATCATTTAAAGAAGCCTTTAACCAGCAATCAAAAAGATTTTGACAAAGATCTTTAGCCATTAAATAGCCAATGGATTCTTTAAAAATTTAAAATATTTTGTTTTTATTCGAGGCCTAGAGTTAAGCTACTTTTCTAAACCGCTGCCTTGGATATTGGCCTGAAGTCTAAAAAATCCCAAGGGAGGTACAAACTAATTTTCGACCCTCTTGTCCGGGATATTTAGCCTGTGGCCTAGGAGAATCCCAGGAAGGTTAAACTAAATCTTGACAAAGAAAAAATTAATCTTTCTATGTCCATATCCAGTTGGAACTTCATGGAGTTTTCCTAGGCTCCAGTTCCAATATCCCGGGCAATAGGTTTAAAAAGAAACCCAGAATATTTTTAGGGCACGGAAAATATGACCCCGAAAGTTCAAACTGAAACAAAACCCCCAAGCCCAATCTTAACGACTCAAAAACTGATTTTAAGGTCCCATCATCCTTTACAAAAAATTCAAAAGAAACCTTGAGATTTACAACATCCAATTGTAATTAGTTGATCATTTACATTCAATAAAAATAATAAACAACGAGCCCAAACTTCGTCTTTATATTCATCTTTTGAATGATTTGTTAAATGCCGAATTGCTGTTAATATTGTTTGAATTTGTGTTCCTTGACGGCTCAAAATTAAGTGATTATCTGATGTTGATAAAGTCGATTTTTCTTGAAAAATATGACGAAATGCTTCGAGAAATTTTCTGAAAATAAATTTTAATGTTAACTTTAAGCAAGAATTTTCTTAAATAAGATTTTTTAATTTTTTAACCAAATTTAAAATCCGACAACAAACGGACTCGAACCCAAGACCCCAACGCAATAACTCTAGAAACCTAACCAAACAACCACGGATTGTCAAAATGGAAATTTTAAATTTAAAGGCCAATTTCATTTAAATTCCATAAACAAAACAAAAAATCTAATAAAATTAAGAACCTACTTAAAATATTTGTCTGGGTATAACAAAATTTGTTTGGGACAATATTGACGAGGAGAATCTGTTGTTAATGCTGAACTCCAAGCAATATAAATACGAACAGCAGAACGCAAAGTTTCATAACATTGATTTGGAATAAATGGAAGAGTTAAACTGTGATTTGTGACCTGGAAAAAATAGAGAAATTAACTTGGAATTAACTTAACTTGGAATTCAAACCAGGTTCTCGACTTTTTTTTTGGCTAAAAACCCACGACCCCGAAAATAGACGTTCTCAAAGAGCTCAACACTGAAAACCCCTGACCCTGAACTTTTGAACTCAGACTGGAGTCCAAAACTAAGTCAGAATGGAGTCCTTTCAATTCGAAAAAAACCCCAAAAAACCCTTCAAGGTCGGGGTCCAACCCCCGAAAAAAAAAATAAAAAATTTAAAGACCTGCATAATCCACTCCAAATCTGAATCAGTAGAAAACGCATCGTCTTGGCTTGATGACGTCGACAACGGCTTATCAACTTTTTCAACCAATTCTTTAACCAAAATGTGTGCTACAGCTTCGCTTGCACTACTAAAAAAGAAATTAAACTCTCCAAAAAACACTAAAAAAACCTCGTAAATTGCGATAAAATTCCAAATTTAGGTTCAGTTAATTCAATACATGGCCATTCTTCTTCAACTCCTTTTTCTTGCATTTTTGTAGGAGAATATTGCAAAAATTCAAAGTTCAAAAATAAATTTTTATTGCAATTTTTGCTGTTGTTAAAATAAATTAAAAAATAAAAATATTTATTGTTTGTTCAATATTTGTTGTTTTTGTTGTTGTTGTATTTATTGCACATTAAAAAAATAACAGTTCCACCTGTTTATACTAAAAAAAAGAGAAACTAAAAAAAAGATGCTGAATAAATATAGAAACTTTTAAATTTTAACTCTTTGAAAAAAATTTTGTTTGCCCAACAGGAATAAAAATATTTTTTATATGAAATGATTCATTGCCATATAAAGAAAAAATCGATATTTCCTCTCCCCCAAAATAAAGGATAGAGTAAATCGATAGATCAACACGAGCTGATAAAAAAATAAAGAGAAAATTCAAAAATAATTTTAAAAATGCCATTAAACAAATCGGTCAAATCCAATATTTCGAAAAAAAAGTCAAATTTGACATTTTTAAATTTACCATTTTGAAATTTACCATTTTGAAAATTTACTATTTTGAAAATGTTTTGGGATCATAAAATATTTATAACTAGTTTACTTTTTGAAATTTACATTTTGTAATTTACAAAAAGAATATTCTGCCGGGAGAACAAACAAATTTTATACAACAAAAATAAACAAAAAATATTTTTAAGCATCTTAGCATGAATAAATTTCTTCGTTTTCTTTCTATTAAACTGGTATTCCCTTATATCATATCTGCTTAGGCTCCACAAATTGACTAATTGAGAGTTAAACTTACAATGGAGAGGCTTTTTGGTGTCCGTGGGACTTCGGGGTGAAATTTGTTAGACAAAATTCGGGATGAAATTCTGCGGACAAAACTTGCGGGTGACTACAAAATAAAAAAAAACAAACCATATGCTGTGAAAATCACTGCAAACTCTCTGTTACGCACCAGTGAGAAACTCTCTGATTTGCAACAGTGAGTAAAAACTCTCTGTTACGCACCAGTGAGAAACTCTCTGATTTGCAACAGTGAGTAATAAACTCTCTGTTACGCACCAGTGAGAAACTCTCTGATTTGCAACAGTGAGTAAAAACTCTTTGTTACGCACCAGTGAGAAACTCTCTGATTTGCAACAGTGAGTAAAAACTCTCTGTTACGCACCAGTGAGAAACTCTCTGATTTGCAACAGTGAGTAATAAACTCTCTGTTACGCACCAGTGAGAAACTCTCTGATTTGCAACAGTGAGTAATAAACTCTCTGTTACGCACCAGTGAGAAACTCTCTGATTTGCAACAGTGAGTAAAAACTCTCTGTTACGCACCAGTGAGAAACTCTCTGATTTGCAACAGTGAGTAAAAACTCTCTGTTACGCACCAGTGAGAAACTCTCTGATTTGCAACAGTGAGTAATAAACTCTCTGTTACGCACCAGTGAGAAACTCTCTGATTTGCAACAGTGAGTAAAAACTCTCTGTTATGCACCAGTGAGAAACTCTCTGATTTGCAACAGTGAGTAAAAACTCTTTGTTACGCACCAGTGAGAAACTCTCTGATTTGCAACAGTGAGTAAAAACTCTCTGTTACGCACCAGTGAGAAACTCTCTGATTTGCAACAGTGAGTAATAAACTCTCTGTTACGCACCAGTGAGAAACTCTCTGATTTGCAACAGTGAGTAAAAACTCTCTGTTACGCACCAGTGAGAAACTCTCTGATTTGCAACAGTGAGTAATAAACTCTCTGTTACGCACCAGTGAGAAACTCTCTGATTTGCAACAGTGAGTAAAAACTCTCTGTTACGCACCAGTGAGAAACTCTCTGATTTGCAACAGTGAGTAATAAACTCTCTGTTACGCACCAGTGAGAAACTCTCTGATTTGCAACAGTGAGTAATAAACTCTCTGTTACGCACCAGTGAGAAACTCTCTGATTTGCAACAGTGAGTAATAAACTCTCTGTTACGCACCAGTGAGAAACTCTCTGATTTGCAACAGTGAGTAAAAACTCTCTGTTACGCACCAGTGAGAAACTCTCTGATTTGCAACAGTGAGTAATAAACTCTCTGTTACGCACCAGTGAGAAACTCTCTGATTTGCAACAGTGAGTAAAAACTCTCTGTTACGCACCAGTGAGAAACTCTCTGATTTGCAACAGTGAGTAAAAACTCTCTGTTACGCACCAGTGAGAAACTCTCTGATTTGCAACAGTGAGTAAAAACTCTCTGTTACGCACCAGTGAGAAACTCTCTGATTTGCAACAGTGAGTAAAAACTCTCTGTTACGCACCAGTGAGAAACTCTCTGATTTGCAACAGTGAGTAATAAACTCTCTGTTACGCACCAGTGAGAAACTCTCTGATTTGCAACAGTGAGTAAAAACTCTCTGTTACGCACCAGTGAGAAACTCTCTGATTTGCAACAGTGAGAAACTCTCTGATTTGCAACAGTGAGTAAAAACTCTCTGTTACGCACCAGTGAGAAACTCTCTGATTTGCAACAGTGAGTGACCCAACGTTTCGAAACAGCTGTAGCTGTTGACGATTGTTGAGCTAAAATAAAAAAAGATAAAAATTGATATCAACTATAAACCGCAAGTTTTGCCGAGATTCCCCCCTAATATAAAAACCCTTCTGTGTCCAAATTCACCATATGATACCGATAAGATGGCCACGAGGAAATGTATAATTCAGCACTTTTCGAACCCCACACGGCACATCAACAAGTAAATATTCAACAGGCATAGGCCTTCCATCACGAAAAACTTCCTCTCCTCTTTAATTTTTCTCCTTAGAAATTAAAAAAAATTTTTAGAAAAATTAAATTAGAAAAAACCGTATATTGAACAGAAGTAATATAATGCTTCTCGTTTAATGGCGTCTCTCTAGCCCAAGCCAATTCAATTCACCAATTGGTCACAAAATATTAGCTTCAACCATTGCTGTGCATTGATTAGAGACCTGATATCCATGCAAATCGATGCCTTTTGACTTGAAAAAAGGAAAAAAATTTTTTTAATTGTTAAAATTTTTTAAAATCATTTGAAAAAATTTTAGAGAAAATTTTGAAAAAAAATCTTCAAAAAATTTTTATGAAAAAAATTTTCTCCTTACAGAATTATCTGATGCAACAACAGTAACAAATTTAGAACCAAAATAGCCAGTATCACAATAATTTGTAGCATTTTTAAAATGTGATTGTAAATTGCCAGCAGTTATACATTCAGAAGCAGAAAGTAAAAATGAATCCTGAAAATAAAAAAAAATTCTCACAAAGTTAAAAAGAACATGCGGGTCAGGGTTTGATTCGGGGTTTCAAAATTTTCTCCGGATCGGGTTTCATGGTAGAAAAATAAGTTCGGGTTACGGGAAACTCGTCCCATCCCTGGAGCGAATAGCACCGCCGAATCAGGGATTATGGTTCCCTAAGACTGGGCTGTTTTCTCTTATCACGACCCGCCAATGCCTCCTTGGGTAAGTTAACAATAATTTTTCTTAAAAATGCGAGCAATAAGAAAAGTCTAATGAAATGGGAGAAACAGCCCGCCAAAACCCCTACAGATATTTATTTATTAAAAGAAAAACCTCATTTCTAATACATTTAACAGTCCCCAACGTCCTCGATTCACTACAAAGATCAGTAAAAATCCAACCAACACGTTTCATTCCCAACCAAGAACAAAGTTGATCAACTTTAACATTTAAATTCTTCTTTTCCTCCACACCATTTTCTTCCCCATTTTCATTAATTTCAAATCCAACAGAATTTTCATTTGAATTTTGTAGAGGTTCATAAATAGCACAAACAACAGCTTTAATCCCCAATGGAACTTCACTAAATTGTTCATATTTTCCAATTAAAAATCCAATACGTTGACAACTTGAATTACGCCAAAAATTTAAAAATTCGTTTACAATGCTGTCATTTTCCAATTCAATATTGTCAACATGACGAAATGGCTTGAAAAATAAAAAAATTAAAAAAAAATATTGTAGGGACCGGGGATAGCAAAGGGACGGGAAAACAGTTGGCCGAAGTCCGGGAAACCAGAGACATCCCTGGTTGGAGCATTGTCTTACAGGTTCAAATTTTTCCACTGTTCCACGGTTTCTGGAATCGGCTCATGTCAGTCCCCGAATCTAGGAAAACAGTGGTCTCTCGGTTCCAGCTCTCGAATGCTCCATGGTTCCTGTCTTTGTTATTTGTCGACTAACCAGAGAAACACTGGTTGTTCTCACAATCAGTCTTGGGCTTGGTTTATAATATAGGTGGGTTTCTAATATAGGTCTCCGTCGAATATTTTCCCATACTAATAAGTTACCATTATGGTTTAGCGGGATATTCCTCACTCTATTGGTGGAGAATGAGCGAGGTTCGAATCCCGTCAACGGAAAATCTTTTTTTTATCGAAACAAATCATTCAAGTCTTCCATATTTGAAACTTCTCAAAATAGAATAAATTCTGGGGGGGGGGGGGGGATGTCACACCAGGAATGTTCACATAATCCCCCTAACTACCCGATCCAAAATCCCGGGGTTTTTTCGACCCGATACGAAGAAAATTCTGAAGAGCCAACCATTTACTCAAACCATGGCACCTGGTACAGACTCGTAAGAATCGAGAAACCAATTTTTCTTATTAACTAAACCATAGCCTACAAAGTTATTTTTATCCCGGCATTAAAAACATTTTTTAATCAGAATCATCCAAAAAAACAATTTTATAAACAAAATTAAACCTTTAATATGTTCCTAGACAATTTTCCAAACATTTTTTCTTATCAAGCGTCTATAGAGCACGTTGCTGGCTCTCAACTTCCTGCCTTTGACTTCTTCAATTGATATTCCACAACGCTAAAAAATTGAAAAAGTTTAAAGAAAATTTATTTAAAAGAATACAAAAATGGAAGCCAAAAAGCAGAAGCAAGGTAGACTGCCGCCTTAACCAAAAGTAATGGAAGATTGTGTGGTCGAGTATAATGCCAATACTAACATGGGAAGGTTGCGAGGTGTCCGAGCTAAAAACGGTCGAGACCGGGCTCATTCGATAGAGAATGTGCCCTTTCTAGCAAGGATTTTTTGCCGTTTTTGCCCGTTTTTTGATTTGGCCAAGATATGGCCCTCCAAAGTCCCAAAATTTGGCATAATTTTCCCCTCTCAAATATAAACATTAAATAATGGGTTAATTTCGTTGGCGTTGTGGTGTAGTGGTGAGTGTGCTTGACTCACCCTTTTTCTCTAAAAAGTTCGATTCCTTTTTGGGTTTTATATTTTTATCTAATTGTTTTAATCATTATTCATTCCTTTTTCAACAATAAAAAATTTTTTTCAACAAAAAAAAATTTTTGAAAAAAAAGAAAAATTTTTGTTGGAAAAAAAATTTTTTTAAACTTTATTCGCTATAAAACTAGAATTTGCTACACCGGGCACATCGAATAAAACTAGATTCCGAACAATTAGGTATTACATTCAAAAGGGGACGATAATGAAAAACAATAACGGATCGGACGGTCGAATTCTCCAGAGGAATCTTCTCCTCTCCACCCAATAACTCGTCAGGATAAAGTTTTTAAAAAAATTTTTTCAAAAAAAAAATAAAAAAATTTTTTTTTAGTTGAGAAAATTTTTTTATTGTTGAAAAAGGAATGAATAATGATTAAAACAATTAGATAAAAAAATAAAACCCAAAAAGGAATCGAACTTTTTAGAGAAAAAGGGTGAGTCAAGCACACTCACCACTACACCACAACGCCAACGAAATTAACCCATTATTTAATGTTTATATTTGAGAGGGGAAAATTATGCCAAATTTTGGGACTTTGGAGGGCCATATCTTGGCCAAATCAAAAAACGGGCAAAAACGGCAAAAAATCCTTGCTAGAAAGGGCACATTCTCTATCGAATGAGCCCGGTCTCGACCGTTTTTAGCTCGGACACCTCGCAACCTTCCCATGTAAAAATTAAAAAAATGAAAAGACTAAGAGAATATTCAAAAAATTCACCCCCATAGCCCAGCCAACAAGATAAGGTCCTTGTGGACTCTGTGGACGCCAACCAGGTCCAGGCTTCCAATTCGTAACAGTATTGTAAATTCCCGGAGTTCCATTCAAGTGCGCATAACGGCAAAGAGGACGCAACATTGGACGAAAAATATTGCTACAAAATTTACCCTTTTGCAATTTACCATTTTTAAAGTTTATATTTTGAAATTAGATAAACTGACCTGCCATGTTTCCAGTTCTTACATTTTGCTAAAAATAAATTTGCCATCAATTTTATATTAAAGTAAAAAATATTCGATTGCGCCGTAGCAAAAACATATATTAGCTCATGCTTTTTTTAGACATTTATCGAATAATTAAATACATTAAAAAATTATATAGTAATTTAATTGTGGCATCATGACATTAAATAAATAAAATTAGTTAAAAACGATGCCAACGTATTCAAGTTTCTTGAAAAATAGAAGGAATATTTGTTAGAAACGTATTTTCTCGAATAATTCCCCATCCCACAGATGGGTTGAAACAATTCCCCACCCTTATTTACCCCCCCCCCCCCCCTCCCCTCTGCACGTTCAAATTTTAAAACTCGAATAATTCATCATCCCACGGATGGGTTGTTACTTGTTTCTTCAAGGGGAATTAATCGAGAAAACACGATAAAATCAATATTTTTCATTTTGTTTTTGTATCAACCTCTCTCATTTCTGGGTATTAAAATTAGTTTTTAAAAAAATGCCAGATTATTCTTCTTCCTTTCAACTTCTTTAAAAAAATTCAAATATAAGGTTGTCTTGCTTTTAACGCATTTAAAGCATTATTTAATTTTACTGCTGGTCCCAATTTTAATTTTAATTCATTTTGTAATTGTTCACAAGTTAATAAAACTAATGAACTTCCATCAATTTCTTGTTGAATAAAACGTTCTCCATTACTTTCAGAATTTGTGACAAAATTGACCCATTTTGAAACATCTTCTGACTGAAAAATAAAATTTAAAAAATAATGGAAAATTTTTTTTTAGAAATTTTAGAGAAAATAAATAAATGAGAAAACAAAATCAACATCAAAAACAAAGCCAAAAACAACAATTTTCAAAGCAATTGAATGCCCAAACTTTACGAAATTCATTTCTTGAACAAGCAGCTTATTTATTAAATTCAATAACAACATCTCCTGTTCAACAAGAAGAAACCAATAAAAAATCAAAAACAACAGAGGCTAATAGCTACAATTTATTAGCAAGATTAACATTACGTGAAGTACGGGAACTTTGTTTTGTTGATCAAATAAGAATGCATAAAGATTTTAAAAGAAATTATTGTAAAAGGTATGAGTTTTTTACCCCCAAAAATTTATGAAAAAATTTTTTTTTCACAGATGTTTCAATTGTTGGTTGGCACCAGAAAGTGGAAAAAATTTCTTTTCGTTGAAGATTAAACAAATTTCAAAACAAAAAACAATTGTTTTAAAATGTCAATCATGCCAGAATAACAAAACAATTCCATTCAATGTCAATTACAAATCAAGAAATGAGAAGATGAATAATGATTTTTGATAGATTAGATAGGTATATTTTTGTTATATTTTATAGTTTGTCGGTTTTTTAATAGAGAGATAAAATGATTTTTTAAAAGTTACTAGGCCCAAAATAAATTTCTCTGAATTCATTGAGACTTGGTTAATGATGTTGAAAGTTTGGGGAAACCTCCCACCCTCCCCCTAAGGTCTGGGAAACCTCCCATATCCTCCTCCTAAAGTTTAGGGAAACCTCTCATCCTCTCCCTACAAGCTCAAAGCCTGTGATATCCAAAAGGTCCAGAGGTATGCTTCTCAAAAGGTAAATGAGAGACCCCTCAGATCTTTGCTTGGCCCAGACCTTTCTCAATGCTCATCTAATTTTTATAGAATTTTTACCCTCTAATAAAATTCTTTTAAATTTAAAAATAAAAAAAATTTTATTTACCGTCCATGTAAAAATACTTTTTGCAACCAATGTTTCAATTTCAACATTCTTTTCACCACCACCACCATTTCCTCCTCCTCCTCCACTTCCAGTAGGCGTAGGTGTATTTATTGGAGATTGTAAAAATATATGCGGATTTTGTTGTCTAGAAAATTGTTGTTGTTGTTGAGGAGCAAAAAATGGATTTATTGTTGTATTTGGAGTCATAACTAATTGTTGTGAAGGAATTTGTGTTGGAGGAGATTGAGAATGAAGAAATGGAAAATTGTTTGAATCTACAAAAAAAATTTTTTTTGAAAAATAGATGGGATATTGGGACGAGCATAACGGGATATTTCAATGCACAAACAGCTACTCTACTTGGTTTCACGACCTACATATGGCCAATGAGTAGGGTTGTCGGTTCTGGACTGAACAGAAGAACCGGGGATTTTTCGTTTTTTAGGATATCTGAAGAAATTCCAAAAACTGACAACCCTACCAATGGGCCTTGATAGGTACCCTGTCCCATTGAAGAAACGAGTTTTTGTTTTCCGATATATCCGTCCCTTCCAAAAAATATTTAAAAAAACCTTGTCCACTTAAAAATGCTTGTGATTGAGGAGGAAGAAACTGTGAAGCAAATAGAGATGTTGGCAAAAAATTAAATGGAGCACCATATGGACGGGGTACTTGTGGTTGTTCATCACCAGATGAAGAGGAAGATTGAACCTTTAAAAAATATTTCAAAAAAAATTTTTCAATTTTCAAAAAAATACTTCAAATCCTTTTGCAAGACAAGCAATTTGTTCATTCAAATTTGTTGTTGGTATTGTTGTTCCTGGCCATTTGTTATTTGATAAAATTGCTGTTGTATTATTTGTAGCAATACTTTGAGGTTGTAATGTTGAAAATGCTGAACCTAATGGACTTGTCATAATTTTTGCTGTTGATGTTTTTGTTTTATTAGCATCTGGTGTAGATGAATTATTATTTGTGGTGGGTGGTGATTGAATTGATGATGAACGTATTTTTGATGTTGCTGAATTATTTATTTCTTGAGAAGTTGTTGTAGAAGCATTTCTTTAAAAAATAAGGGGAAAATATTTTTTTAATTTTTAATAAAATATATTCTACCCTCAGCTTCGGAATTTTTTAATACCAAAGGTTTGCAATATCAAACCCCCCATAATCCCTTGAAATACCAAACTCTTATCTTTAGATACCCCATCCTAT